CTCGAGCCACAGTAACCTCTCCATCTAAATTAAAACGGGCTCTATTTACCGCTCAGGCTAATTGAGTTACATTAACTCCGAGCTGGATGAGAAGCAGAGCCGGCCCTTACAGTTCCTGGTCTTAATGCGTTTAGTGTTCAGAGGAGCGCACGCCAGTGTGTCATCGTGTTCAAAGCGGAGGAATTTGGTCCTGGGCTGTTTTCATCCTGCCCTGACAAGGCTGGCTGGGAACGCAATGGGGTTCTTGAGATTGTGGTGCTGAGCTCAGTGCAAAGCCACTGGGCTTCTGCCGCTGGTGCTGGGGAGCAGAAACCCCACTGCGGTGGCATGAATGGTGCTGGACGGTGATGGAGCACTGAGATGGGCTCTGGGTGATGCCACCGCTGCATAGGCAATGAGCAGAGGGTGCTACCAGGGACAGGAGCAGCTTCTCCTGGTCCATATCCTCTCATCTCAGCAGGAATACCAGGATCCAGCCACATCCTCTTGCAGGATCCGGTCCCCACGGCGCCATCCTCACTGTTCCCATCCAGATGAGTGCCCATCCACCTGCAGTACCCGCTTAAAAGCTGGGGCACAAAAGGGGTCTGGAGTGGGGCCCAGCACAGCACAGAGGTATCAGTGCAGAAGGAGGACGTGCCATCAGCCCTGACGCCATCGAGATGAGCCTCATTCAGAAAGCTCAAGCAGGAGGCTTCAATAAGACCGGAGGACTCTGCCAAGAGTCACACTTCCTATATTGAAGTGCATAAAAGCTGGCCATGTAAGACATGAAGAAAGCACTGTCAGGGTAGGCCAGTGCCAGCCAGCAAATATATAACAGTGGGAACATGAAATATTAATCACTGGTGCATAAAACAATAGGAAAAACCTGCCTTTTGAGGCAGCCATCAATCCTCGCTCAGCAGGGAACATCAAGAGACGCTAATACCATACAGGTTCTGCTTAAATATTTGCCTTCCTTAATGCTCACGCAAGAAGCATTTGCTTTGAAGTCGAAAATAGACTGTAAATGTCTTTTGTGTGAGATGAAACATGATAAGACATGAAACCAGGAGGCTAAACTGTAGTTAATCACGGTGGTTTTACAAGCAACAAATCATTACAGCAGACAGTGAAGTGCGTCGCTTAAAAGGAGGATCGCAGGGAGGAGAACCCCAGCTGGACATCACCCTCCACCAGTAGGGTTTTGGGTTATGGGCCAGTGGGGTGGCCATGGGAGCAGCCGTGGGGCTGGACCAATGCTGGTGCAGGGCTGGATCCATGCTCACAGCATTGGACTGACTCTTGCAGGGCTGGATTGATGCTCTCAGGGCTGGACCGATGCTCTCAGGTGATGCTCTTGGGGCTGGAGCTGTGCTCACAGGCCTGGACCAATACTTGAAGGGCTGGACTGGTACTCGCAAGGCTGGACCAGTGCGCATAGAGCTGGAATGATGCTGGTGCAGCCCAAAGCAGCTCTCCCTGGTGAGGCCTTTCCCCCAGGGCATGGGGTGATGTGTTTTGGGGATGGTTCATCCGGTCCCAACACCATAGCATGGAGAGGGCAGGAGTGCTGTGGGCACCCCTGTGTGCCATCACCATCCCAAGAAGGTGGCACCGGCTCTGCCTGCACCCACTGATAGGCTGGGGGTGATTATCCCACTCTGGGCAGACCCTGGGAGACCCATGCACCCCGGAAACATGGGATGTGCTTGGGCCAAGGATGGAGCCCACGGTGGGTACTGCTCCCTGGGCAGGGGAAGGGCAGCCCCACCATCATCACACACCACATCCTGATGCATTGAGCAGCCATTCCTGAATGCAGGATTGTGCCTGCACCACGGCACGCACAGCCAGCCCGGGACAGGAATATCCCACATCAGAAGTGAAGCTCATGATTAGAAGCGATGTGCACTTGAGAGCGTGAGATGAGACCCCAAAGCAAGCATCGAAGTGTGACTGATTAACAAATAACCCCTCACTAATTGCCTTGAAAAGTCGGATCTCAACAGCCAGGGAAGGAAAAAAACCCAAGATTAACATTTTCCTTGGGCTAAACATTTTTCCGGCCTGCCCAGACCCATTCCCAGTGATTCCAGCCGTGATCTCTCGAATTAACACACGCCACAGACGGAAAACTCATTTCTCCACCTTGTGGCTTTGGGAGGATTCATCAGACCTCACTCAGGAGGAGCACCCGGCCAGCAAGAGGGAGCCTGGAATAGGGAGAGATGAAGTTATTGTTGGTGAATGAAGTGGAACGAGCTTTTAGTTTCCTCCACCTATTGCTGGATGTGCTGAGGGATAGATGAGCAATCCAGGATGGAGCGAGCACCTCACCTCCTGCAGCATCCCAGGGACACCACAGAGTGGTTCGATGTTAGGAATTCCAATGATCCCTTTAAGCAAACTGATGCTCCAGAGCCCATCACCGGGATGGGACCCCAGCATGGCCCAGGGATGCGGCTGGGATCGAAGCACCCATTTGCCAGGATGAGGCTGTACAAGAGCACCTCGGATCAGGCTGCGCTGCCTGCCCCAAGGGATGCCCCAGTGAATAAAACCCCACAAGGGCCAGGCCAAGGGGAATGGCTTGAACCTGCCCGAGGGGAGACTGAGCTGAGCTCTTAGGCAGAAGCTCTTCCCTGTGAGGGTGCTGAGGCGCTGGCACAGGGTGCCCAGAGAAGCTGTGGCTGCCCCATCCCTGGCAGTGCTCAAGGCCAGGTTGGACACAGGGGCTTGGAGCAAGCTGCTCCAGTGGAAGGGGTCCCTGCCCATGGCACGGGTTGGAGCTGGATGAGCTTTAAGGTCCCTTCAACCCAAACCCTTCCACGAACCCATGTGGAAGCCGTCTCACTCCCGCTGCACTGACTCCAAGGAACCACAGCAATCAGAGCTTCCCGATGCCTCCGGTCCTTTCCTCTTTCCTTGCGTAACGTCATTTCTCTGGGGTTGTCACCTTTATTAGGGGAATTAATCTCGGCCCCGCTGTGCTCTGCCGCCGCCGGAGCCATCCCGAGGAGGTCAAAGAGGCAGCTCCTCTCCATGGCATGCGGATAAGAAAATTAAGGAATTAAAAGGGGAGGTCAGCTGGAGGCTATGGCAGGAAATGAATGATCTTCTGAACGAGCAGGGAAGCGTGTGTCGGCCTGGGAGCATAATCCAATCTCTGCCATTAAACCCACAGCGTTGCTATGGGGCTGCTTTTGCCCAACTAAGCAAAATCCTCTGATTCAACCCAAATTGTCATTAGGGTAATGATTAAATGAGGATGAATGGTGGAGGGGAAGGACCGGCCATAGACTGGTGGAGGGGATGGGGATGCCCAGTGCTGCAGTGATCCAGCAAGGATGAAGGACCTGGGGATGGTGGAGCTCGAAGGGATGGGATCTGCTCTGCAGGGTCACATTCTGCATCCTCAGCACCAGGCACCAGCCTGCAGTCTTTAACACGGAATCCTGGATGGATTTCCAGGTAAATGCCCCATCCCTATTCAAACCATCCTGAGTTTGCTCTCCTCGTTGTTCCAAGGGTGCGGTACCCACACCAGCAGCATCCCTCCCTCCCTGTAGCGCCTGGGGAAGGGTTAGGAAAAGCACTTGCACCCTCCCGTGCCTGCGGCCACGAACTGCAAGGCAATGTGGAAACACACTGTGTTCCCGTGGGACGCAGTGCTGGGAAGCCATGGGTAGCAGGAATCACCACTGCTCCTCCCAAGTGCTGATTCCCAACCTGTGGTTTCCTTCTACTGCAGCATCCCAAGGGAAACCATCCCCAGAATGCCTCCATTCCCAGCGGTGCAGGCGAGGACAGGATTCACAGGGATGGATGGATCCACAGTGGTACCCAGTGGGAAGCCAAGGGGCAGCTACTGCCCCTTGGGACTTATGTGGAGGTCACCAGAGCAGGGACAAAGCAACACATAAGAGGATTAATTGGTTGAAAAGCAGCTTGAAGCAACCTTCAGGCTGGACCTTGGTTAGCAATTACAGCTGGATGTGGATGGGGAAGGTGCTGAGGGTGATGCCCTGGGGCACAAGGCAGCGATGGGACAGGAGCGAGACATGGAGCTGGCTCCTCTGCTCCAAGGTGGAGTTTACCCCTTTGGAACTGGGGTCCAGCAAAGCCCAGCTCCAGTCTCCAGCCTCCCATAAACCCAGTACCCAGCTCTGATGGGGTGAAGGGATCTTTACAAGGCAGGAGGTTGCAGCTTCCAGCCTTTGTGCGAGGAGACCACCATGAGGCACTGCTGAAACTCAGCTCCCTTCTGCCCAGCAGGTATCACAACACCGGGAAGCAAGGCGAAAACAGCTTCACTTGGGCAAAGACAAGATGTGGAGCGGAAAAGAAACCTTCCCCAGTGAAGGTTTTGCCCCTGGGATTGCCCAAAGGCCTCCAATGCATCCCCCTTTTACACGGCAAATCCTGGGGTAATGGTAACAGATAGAGGATCAAACCACACACACTGACTTCAAGCTGACCCTGCAGGCTGGAGCCTCCAGGTGAACCCTGCCCTGTGCATCTGTGCCTGCCTCACACACATCCCATCACTGGTGCAGCCTCCCCATCGCTGCAACCACCACCAGCAGAGCGAGCAGCGAAGGTAACCCCTGGCAGATGCTGCACGGTGCCCTCACTTCAACAGAAGAGGTTATTTCTCCAACACAGTGACTCAGTGCTTTATTGTCAGTATAGAAACAGGTACAAGACCAGCAGTGAGCTCCAGGCACCGAACTGGTGCAGTGCACTTTGTACGGGTGCCCTCCTCATGCCAGAACTGAGGGAAAACCCATACTGAGCACAGCAGCACCATAAGAGCAGTGAGGCCTCCCCAAACCACCCATGTGTTGCACTGGAGCTGCACCACCAGACCATGGGTGAGCGAAGGGTTTTGTCACCTTCAGAACTCCTTGTGTGTAATTACAGGGGAGGGTTTGGTTTGGGGACAGGGAGGGAAGGGCACGATGCTATTAAGGAGCCATCAGTGTCCCTAAAGCCTGAGTTGTGCAAAGGGCAGCCCTCCCTTGCACTGGGGAACCATTGGTGCCACTGGAGTTCACAGCACAGTGATAAATCTGGTGTAAGGCCAAGTGAGAACCGAGCCCAGAGGACGTGGGGGATTGAGACCTGTGTGCAAGATGAGGGGTAAAATACCTGCCTGCTGTCTAGTGGGATCATAAACCCATCCTCGCCCTAGCACCCTGGCAGGGTTTATATAGGGCAGTTCATACCATGATCCCAGCCTAGAATAGCACCAGGGATTAACCCAGACTTTGACCTCAGCTAATCCAGAGCTATTCCCTGGAAATGCCAGAGGAGCAGCTCTGGGTTGCATCAGTGCCACGTCAGGCACATGAGCTGCTCCCATGGACCCTGATAGAGGCAGAGGGATGCTGGGGAGAACAGAGGGGGTAAGGGTGGGTACAATGAAGGGCTGCAGCCTTTGCGTCACCCCAAGTCGTGTGAAACACCCTTAGGTGCAGCTCACAACCGAGCCAGCAAGCACACAGCTCCAGCACCCCCATTTTCCCCTTACCCCCCCCCTGCTCCTCCCAGCACCCCAAATCAGAGCAGCACAGAGAAGGAACCAGCCCGGGGACACCAAGAGCATTCTCTTGCTGGTGATGTCCCCTTGACTGGATGGAGCACCCCAAGGTGAACGCAGGATGAGCCCAAGAGCAGTGCGCAGGCAGAGCAGGGTTGTGCTTACTTCTCCTTCAGGTCCTTGTCTGCTTTGCCTGAAAGGAGGAGAGGAAAGTTCCAGGTTCGTGTTTCCCACCCCAGAGCCACCAGCCCTTTTTACACGGTTATTTCCCTACACCCGGCCAGCATCCCGCATCCCACAAGTGGGAAGCAAGCCATGGCCAAGGGGCTGCCCTGAATTTGCCTCCCAAAGGCTTTTCTCACCCAGGGGGAGCAAAGAGCAGGGTAACCACAACAGCAAATACCCCTTCCCATAGAGCAATAGCCAGAGCTCCCACCCCACTTCCCCAAGGGATTCTCCCAGCCCTATTTAAGCCACCACAGGAGCTCCCTGCCCTTGCCCTGCATCGCAACCAGAAAGCCCCAGTGCTGCGCTGCCCTTTGGGCACAGGCAGAGCCCCAGCCCCATGCAGGAGGTCCCCACACTCCCTATTTCACCATGGGAGCCCAGCTGAGCAGAGCAAAGCACTGGGGATTTATACAGGATGGAAGTGGCTCCTTGGCTTATCTGAAGCAGCAGCTCCCCCCGGCCGCAAGCAGTGCAGCGCACACCGCGTGTGGCTATCAGCAGTGTCCCCGAATGAACCATGTGGGGTGGAAGAGCTCCCCCACCACAGCCGGTACCTTTTGGGATGAACTTCAGCGAGCTGCTGAATATTCAGAAGCGGGACTGGCCCCTCTGGGGACCATCATTGAGGAACTCATGGCCGAGCCCGTTGCCGCACTTGCCACAAGACACCTACAAACGATAGCATCATTGGGATGGTTTGGGTTGAAAGGACCTTAAAGCTCATCCAGCTCCAACCCCTGCCACAGGCAGGGACCCCTTCCACTGGAGCAGCTTGCTCCAAGCCCCTGTGTCCAACCTGGCCTTGAGCACTGCCAGGGATGGGGCAGCCACAGCTTCTCTGGGCACCCTGTGCCAGCGCCTCAGCACCTTCACAGGGAAGAGCTTCTTCCCAGTTTCCAACCAGCACTTCCCCTGTTTCAGTTTGAACCCATTTCCCCTTCTCCCATCGCTACACTCCCATGGGTCTGCTTTGCCGTCCCCAAGGTTTCCCTGTTGGCACCTTTAAGGCCCCCGGCCGCTCCAGGCGCTTGGCCACGCTGTCCTCATGGATGGTCTCGGTGAACGCTGGCCACGGGGACGAGTGCTCGTACTTCGATCGGCTGGAGAACAGCTCATGGCCACACTTGGCACAGACGTAGATGCCTGGGGTGGGTGGTGAGAGAGGGGTCAGGGATGGGGGCAGCACCCGGATGGCTCCCAAGGGATCGGGATGGCGGCATGGGACTTTATGGCCGCAACCCACATCCCCTATAAGGGCCCCTCTATAGCAGGACAGGACCCCCCCCCCCAACTCCACCTTTGCAGTCCGGGTCGTGCCCTCCCCTCCACGGGGGATCCCCCAATAGACGGGACCCGCAGCCCGGTTCCCAGGGTGAAGGATGCCCACAGGAAGAACACCGCATCCCCCTCCCCAACAGGCCGGGATTCCAGCCCTTACAGGAGGGTCCCCAAACCCCACGGGGCCCCCAGAACCCCCCGAGAGCCCCCGCCCGGCGCCGCCGGCCCCGCTCACCCGGTTGGAAGTGGTCCTTGAACACCTCTCCCCCTAGGAAGGCGCAGAAGGACATGGCTGCGCCCGCCGCACCGGGACCCGGCCGCTCCGCCCCGGCTCCGCCCCGGCACTGCCGCACGGCGCCCACCAGAGGGCGCTGAAGGGCGGGCGGTACCGCAGGGGGGGGTCCCGGTACCGGTGGGGGGGGGCCCGTTATCGGGACCGCTCCGCCCCGTTCCCCCAGTGGGAAACCCCGGTGCGGGCCCCGCCGCCCCGGTGAAGGGTTCCCGGGTGGAGGAAGCCTCCGGGGGAGCGCGGGGACCCGGCACGGTCCTGCGGATGCTCCGGCCCCGCCGGCTGGAGCGGGGCACCCGCACCCGAGCAGGACCGCGATCGGGGCGGATGCTCCGCCTCCAGCAGCCGCTCCTCGCCCAGGCACCGGCATCAGTGCCTGGATCCCGGCATCACCAGGACGGGCCGGCCTCCTCTGCCCCGGCACAGGGTCCGGTCCCCCCCCGGCATCGGGACTGAGCCTCCCGGCATCCTCCCCCCCGCACCAGCACCGGTTCTGCGCCTGCACCGGGACTGCTCGCCCTCCTCCGGCCCTTCCCCGTCTGCCTCAGGTACCGGCGCTGCGGGAGTGGGGCCCGGCAGGGAAGGAACCGGGACCGGGATCGGGTGGTGATGCTTGGGCAGCTCTTGGGGTGGCCTGGGGGCTCCCCCCATCCCGGGGGTCTCAGTGGATGGGGTGCAGGCCCATAGCCAATGGGGACCCCCATCCCATCACCCCAGGAGCAGAGGGCTGGGGGTCACCCTTGGGACACCCCCTGGAGACCACAGTGGGAGGCGATGTGGGGCCGAAGGGAAGGAGGAGGCAGGAGCCTGGCGTGTGCAAGGTAAGCCTTGGTAAGCCTTCAGACCTGGCTTTGAAGGTGAACCTTGGCAGGCTCCAGGAGCATCCAGCTGGTGGGAAGCATCCTTCACATCACCACGAGTCTCCTCTTCCCTGGTTTTACCTGAGGCCCCTTGAATGAGTCCTCACCCACTGGGCGTCCATGGAAATTCCACCTTCCTTCAGCCAAGAGCAACAATGCTGATGCCCTTTGGACTATCCCAAGGAACCAGCCCTGCTGCTGGATAGAGCCTGGCAGCAAAGCACTCAATGGGCTCCTGCTCCCTAATGCCAGTGGACATCTCCATCACCGCGTGGAGACCCCAGTGTGGGGCCAGCACTGGCGATGCTCCTGCCCGCTGGGTGCTGCCACCTTCAATCAGCTCAGGCTCTCCTCCGGGCAGGCTGAGCTCCCTGCTCCAGCCCTTGGGATTGATGATTCCTGTGGTCCAGCCATGCACCCATCGGGGTCCATCCCATTGCTCCCACCCTCCCAGGCACCCAGGGGTGGCTGCGTTTCAGCAGCGCATCTACAGCCCCCACTGCACTTGCTGTCCCTGACAGATGAAGGCTCCCATACAGTCCCAGCTATTATTATCCCTGTCTCCCACTGTGCTAATGGTCTCTCAGGAAACAGCCTTTTTCTGTGTTTTTAGCTTGTAAAACCCACGGATACCGGAGCGGTTGTAAGGAAAAGGCAGACACGGAGCAGAGCACAAGCACAGGGGAGCTGATGTCCCCCTAACCCAGCGGGGACAGGGAGCAGTGACCTGGCAGGACCAGCCTAGGACCAGCCCGGGGGCTTTCTGGTAGGCACAGCCAAGGGCTGGGAAGGATGATGGGTGATACTGGGGATGGATGTGGCATGGTGCCATTGAGAAACCTGCATGATGAGGGGTCAGTGGGGCTTTCAGCTGTTGTCGTCCGTCCCCCCCCCAGTTGCTATGCTTGGGTGGGAGGTGTTGGAGAAGGGGTTCCTTCTAAAGCCCAGCTCTGGGGTTCATTCTCCTCCCCTCACTCCCCATTTTGCTGTTCCGGTGCTTTGGCCGGTGCTGGTGGTGCCGACGATGCCAGCGCCACAGCCAGCTTTCTGCTGGATGCTGGGCATCACCCACGGACCATTTGGGGTTCACAAGTGGCTCCTGTAAGCCAGAAGCGAAGCAAAAGCCACAGAACATGGTGTTATATAAACAGGGCTGGAGGCAGCCACAGCAGAGCCTGTCACTGATTCACAGCACCGAAGTGCTTTGAAGATCCAGGCTGATGAGGATGGGGGTGTGAGGCAGCCCCAGGGCAGCACCCTGCTCAGCCCCAGCTCCATGGGATGGTGTCCTGGGTCCTGCTGCAGGGATGCTGTGAGGGGAACACCCTGGATGCTGGGCTCAGCCCTGCAATGGTCCCTCTGAGCCCATCCTGCAACCCTCATCCCTCCCAAAGCAGGGGCACAGCTTTGGAGCAGGGTCAGCTCCATGGCTTTGGCAGGAATGGAGCAATGGAGAGATCACTGTGGCTGTTGGGGATGGGACAAAGCTTTGCCATGGCCAGGAACACCCCCAGGGATACAGAAACTGCGTTAGGAAGTTTTGTGCCTCTTCAGTAAACACAGAGATTGCCAACCCCCTGCATCCAGAGCATCCTCACGGTGAACCGGGGTCACGGCTCGGGCTTGCTTCATTTCAAGTCTCTGCAATGGATTAAGCAAGGGCCAAACCATTTGAGCATTAAGTGAGGAACATTTAGAGGAGTCAGAGTCCTGGTGGCTGGCATCGCATCCCTGCTCACAGCCCCTGCACTTCCATCGGGACCAACGGAATGTGCTGGTGCAGGAATATCCCCGTTGTTCCACTGCAGACCTGGCTCATGGCTCCAGGATTTCAGAGGCCCCGTTGCTAATTCCCTGCTGAGTTTTATCCTCCTTATACAAGCGCTTCCCCTTGTCATTGCCATCTTACCATGGTATCTTCTCCATCCCATCCATGCTGGGATGCACAGGGAAAGCCACAAGCCTCCCACCCGCTGGCAGCTCCATGGCCCCAAAGGCATCCCGAAATAGGCTGGAAGGTGACGGGGTCCCCTGGGACACCCTGCTCCTGTTCGGTGGCTCATGGCGATGCTGATGGGGAGGGACAGGGATGTGCTGCGTCTCAAAGGGACACAGACCCGAGCTGCTTCCCCCCATCCCTTGGCAGCACCGGCGATGCGAGCGATGTCAGACCAGGCTGCGGCAGCAGCGGCCGCCTCGCCGACCCTGGCACCGTCCCCGGGCTCCCCTCGGCGTGGGGACACCGATGGGACAGCGCCGCACCCCACCGGCACCAGGGAGGACGGCGGAGGCCAGGACGGCTGCGGGCTTTTCCCATTGGATGGGGACGTAAAGCCTCCCCCTGCATCCCAGTCCAGCGGGATGCTCCTGGCTGACCTCCCTCGGGCCCCGCAGCCGCGGCTCAGCCCGGCCAGGTCCCGCACGGCCCCGTCTTCCCCCAGCGTCTCCCCATCGGAGACCCGCGCCGCGCTGCTCCGGCTGCGGGAGGCGCGGCTGGAGGACACCAGGAGGCGGCTGTCGGAGGCGGTGCAGGAGCCGCTCACCCGCCTCAGCCGCCTCATGGCCGAGGAGAGCGGCGCCGGGCCCCGGCCGAAGCCGGCAGCCGCGGGGCAGGATGCGGGGGGCCGCCGGGGACAGCGGCTGCGGGACTGGAGCCCCTGGGAGCCCGCCCGGAACTGCCGCTACGAGATCTGCTCCTACGGGGACGTGATCCAGGTGCTGGAGGTGGCGCCGCGGGACCCGGAGCCCCCGCTGCCGCCCCCCGAGGAGCCGCCGCCGCCGCGGCCCGGGAGCGCGGTGCCGGGCAGAGCCCTCGCCTCCATCGCGCTCCTCGCCTACGGCTACTTCGTGCTGCCGCTGCCGCCCTACGCCGCCGGCCTCTGCCTGGGGCTCGTCTGCGGGCTGGTGCTCGGCTTCCTCGCCGTCCTCCTCCTCGTTCCCAGGGCTCCGCCGGGGACACGGGGCTGCCTGCGCCCCAGGCTGCTGCCGGGGGAGCCGCGGGAAGCGCAGCGGCTGCAGGTAGAGATGGGATGGGATGGGTGTGACACGGGGTGGGCGTGCTGGGCACCACCAGCTTGTGCTGCTGCCCCATACGGCCCAGTGGGAAGCAGCCGGCTCCATCTCCCCGCACCCAGGGCTGGATGAACCAACTGCACGTCTACGACCCGGAGCTTTTCCACCCCTCGCTCACGCACTCGGTGCTCGCAGCGCTGGAAGGAGCCACCCTCAAGCTCTCCTACCCCAAGAGCAACATCCCGCGCAGAGCCACCTTCGAGGAGGAGATCCTGGATGCTGTGTTCATCAGCCACCGCTCCTATGACCTGACCGACGCCAAGGTGAGCCCGGTGGTGCCCAGGGCCCTCAACACCCCGATGCCCTGGCCTGTCCTCACCGCCCCCCCTCGGTGTTGCAGGTCTTCCTCTGCCCCCCCAGCCTGGCGCGCAAGCGGACGTGGAACAAGAAATACCCCATCTGTGTCCTCCTCGCCGAGGCGGCCGACGGGGAGTGCAGGAGCAGCGAGGAGCAGGATGAGGAGCAGCAGAGGGATGAGGGGACAAAGAAGGCGCCGGTGCCAGGGCAGGACATCCCAGGGGACAGCAGGGAGCGGTGCCTGTACCTGTTCGGGCGGACAGGGAGGGAGAAGGAGGAGTGGTACCAGCACCTGGTGCGAGCCTCCCGCGGGACACCCAGCAGCAGCCATGGGGAAGGTGAGAAGCAGCATCGTGTCCTATGGGATGTGCTGGGGATGGTCCAGGGTGGGAGCTGCCTTGCTAGGCAGCAGTGAGTATATGGGCATGCGAAGAAGCTCAAAGCACAGCCAGGAGCCTAGAGGACCACCCTTAGAAGCATAGGATGGGTGGTATGGCACTGGCATCATGGCCAGGCAGCACATCACCACATGGGCATCATGGCACATGAATCATAGCCAGGATGTCACCTCTCATGTCCCCAGGCACGGGCCCAGCACCACAGAGCAGCGGTAGCAGCAGCGGGGGGAGCTCTGAGGACATCCCCTCCGCTCTCCCACCCAAGGAGCTGGAGGGGAGCATCCAGCAGGAGATCTTCCTGGATTACAGCACCTACATGGCCCGATTCGTGCCAGCGCAGGCCGGGGGCAGCCCGGAGCAGAGCCCCTCTCATGGAGCACTGAGCAGCCCCACAAAGGTGAGGGGGATGAGGGCAGAGGCTGATGGATCCTGTGTGCTGCGGCTCATCTCCCAACCAGTGGGTCCCACTGCTCACGGGGCCACCCTGCTCCAGGAGCTGGTGACCGCTGTACCCCCACAGCTCGGTGAGGACGCAGTGGGGCACAGTGAGCCCTGCATGGCCTGGATGAACGCGCTGGTGGGACGCATCTTCTGGGACTTCCTCCGGGAGCGGTACTGGGCTGAGCAAGTGTCCAACAAGATCCAGAAGAAGCTGAGCAAGATCAAGGTGAGAGGCAGGAGCATCGCAGCACCTGGGGAAGCTCCAGCCGTGAGGCTCCGCAGTGGGTGCCAGCCTGGGGTGAGCATCCCCATGTGGTTCCCTCCATCAGCTCCCCTACTTCATGAACGAGCTGACACTGACAGAGCTGGACATGGGCACATCCATCCCCTCGGTCCTCAGCGCCTCCAGCCCCACCATGAATGACCGAGGTAAGAGCCCCGCAGGGACCCATGGCTGGCCCCATGGTGGGTGTTATTGAGCTGCCAGCCTTGTCCCTGAAGCAGGGAGGTTTGGGCAGGCTCATCCCCTGCAGAGCTCCCAGGGGCTCACCCCATCCCTCTCCTGGCAGGGCTCTGGGTGGACATGGAGGTCACCTACAGCGGCTCATTGCAGATGACCCTGGAGACGAAGATGAACCTCTGCAAGCTGGGGAAGGAGAGCGCTGCAGAGGAGAGCGGCCCAGCAGAGGCAGGAGGAGAGGGGTGAGGACACCGTGCATGGCTGGGGGTCACCCTCCGCCTGCCTGCTGAGGTGAGAGGGTGCTGGCCCCAGGGCACCCGGTGATGCTGCTCGGGGCTCGCAGGGCCAGGCCGCGGCTGATCCTGCTGGCAGACAGCGATGCGGAGTCATCCAGCGCCGGCTCCTCCGATGAGGAAGATGTTGCTGCTGCAGAGCCCATGGGAGCCCTGGGGGAGCGGGTACCACTGCCTGGCACCGAGGGGTAAGGGGTGAATGGGGTCTGTGCTGCAGGAGGCACGGGGCTGGTTTCCCTGTAAGGCACACGGTGCCAGCCCTTCCCTGGGGCCTGCTGTCCATGGGGGTGCTGTGGGTGACGGCTGAGGGATGCTGGAAGCCAGCACGGGTCTGGGTCTCACTGCAGCCACGTCAGCGGCAACAGCACGAGCCGGAAGATCCTGCGCTTCGTGGACAAGATCGCCAAGTCCAAGTACTTCCAAAGGGCCACTGAAAACGAGTTCATCAAGAAGAAGATCGAGGAGGTTTCCAACACCCCGCTGCTGCTGACAGTGGAGGTGCAGGAGCTGGTGGGAACCTTGGCTGTCAACATCCCACCGCCACCGACGGACCGTGTCTGGTACCTGCTCCCCTTCCTCCCATGCAGGGAGCACAAGCATCCTCCTCCCAGCGCCCCATGGCTTGGCCAGGGACTCACCTCCGGGGTTTTGGGTTCATCCAGGGCGCCAGCAAGCACCCAAAGGGACTCACAGCCCTCACATTAGGACCTGGGGACCCAGAGCTCCCATTGCATCCCAGCACCTCCTCTCCCAGGAGGCAGGTCCCTAAAGCCCAGCAGTGAGGCTGTACCCCACAGCCTGGATGTGATGCTTTCTGCCCCTTCCCTTTCCCCGCGCAGGTACAGCTTCCGAGTGCCGCCGCAGCTGGAGCTGAAGGTGCGCCCGAAGCTGGGCGAGCGGGAGGTGACATTCCTCCATGTCACCGAGTGGATCGAGAGGAAGCTGCAGCACGAGTTCCAGGTGCCTGCTCTGTCACAGGGCTCAGCAAAGCAGTGCTGCCATCAGGGACAATGAGACCTCGGTCTGGGATAGGGTTATCTAAACAGAGCACCGACATCCCATCTGGTCTGTCCAGCTTTGGGCACTCAAACACAACCTAAGGAACCTGTTCTGAGCATTGGAGTGCTTGAGGAAAAGTGGTTTCCTCCCAGCACATGCAGCCCTGTCCCAAGCAAGGGGATTTACAAGTGTCAGCAACAGGCAGACACCCCCAGAAGGGCTGGATTCCGCCATCCACTCTGGGTTTGGGATGCTCCCCCACAGGATACCTGCACCTCTAAGAACAGAAATGTCCCCATGGGTATTTAGGTACCCAAATCTCCCCAAAGAGCTGCCCATTCACATGGCTGCAGAGTGCTGGTCCCTTACCCTCTGCCCTGACCACTCTTGAAGTGTTCAAACCCACTGACTTGTTGTGGCTTTCTCTTTGCAGAAAATCTTGGTGATGCCAAACATGGACGATCTCATCATTCCCATCATGAGCTCTGGCCTGGATCCTCAGCCACCCATGGGGGCACTGCCCAGGGACCCACGGGCAGGGCAGAGCCATTGCACAGAGCCCAGGGACCTCACTGGGACACGGGGCCAACCAGGACCTGGGCACTGAGTGCAGCCGGAGCCGTGGGGTCTGAGCTTCCCGGTTCATCGCATCCGCAGCACTTGTGTAGATGAGGCTCCTCCTTACACTGCAAGCACACGTTCAGAGCAGAACCAGACACGGGGCAAGGGGTTTGCTGGAGGCACAAGAACTTCGTGCACTCCCTACCAGCTTCTCCCAGCTCTGGAGCAGCGGAGGGCTGAGCTTTCCACTGTCTGGTTCCCAAAGAGGGTGCAGGACGCCCAGAGCGGTTCTGCACTGAAGGAGTTGGGATCAGCGCTGATCCAAGGCATCACAGCTCCACAGCACATCCCACCCTCCCCGCCGGCAGCTGGACTGCAAGGAAAACAGGGGTGAGAAACGAGTCCAAAGCTGAATAAATCCATCCCTGCCCAGTCTTACCTAGCAGCATCTTATTGTACCCGAGTTCCCACAGCTGCTGAAGATGGATTCGGGATCGTGGGGCTTTGTGCAGGGAGAGGAATCCATGGGTCATGCTTCAGCAAAAGGAGTGCTGGGGGGTGCGTGTGAGAGGTGGAGAGGGGAGAGACGGCCAGTAAGAGGCAGGTCATGGGAAGGCCCTATATTCCCAGTGGAAACTGGAGCAGGAGTGCCAGTACCTGCCCTGCTCTCCTCTGGAAGGGGAGTTCAGCATGGATTGGATGAATGCAGGCAGGAGGGAAAGAATTCCCAGGGCAAAGGAAAGGGAGGATCGAGAGGACAAAGCAGACACTTGCCTGTCCCAGTTACTCCCTGTCTATATGGGCCAGTCCCAAGTGCTGCTTGTCCCAGGAGCCTTGAGGACGTGCTCAGCACCAAATACAGGCAAGGCACCCCTCCAGAAGGAAGCCAGGGAGCAGACATGGCTCGAAGCCCCTTTATTGACGTGCCCAACATTAGGCTGCCTCGTGCATCTCCATCCTTACACCTCTTCCTGCCCACTTGGCTTCGCCTTCACCAAGTGCTTCTTCTGAGGGCCCTGGAAGAGAGCAGAGAGGAGAGCTCTGGGTGTTCGTGGCAGGCAAACCTGGCCTGTGGGGAGCAGAAATGCAGCTCTGGCCCCTTTCTGGAGCTCCTGGTCTCTGCTCCCCACTGGGAGCTCTGTGCCTCCATTCACCAGCCACCCCCAGGGCCTCCCTATGCCCGCAGGAATGGGGAGCATTCCTTCCAACCAAATGTAAAGCTTTCCATGGGGGAAACTCTTATCTCATAGTAGAAACCAGCAAAGGAACCAGCTGCAACCAGGTAGAACCACCTCCTGGCACTAAGAGCTATGTCACAGCTACTCAGGACTTGCAGTGACAGCAAAGCAGACCACGGAACAAGCTCCTAACACTGGGATAAAGGAAATCAGCTTAACCTCTAAAGAGCTCTGCAAAGGCACTGCAGAGCCACCCCCCTTCCTAGGGCTAAGCAGGCTTAGGCAGTGGCACATGGGATTTCTAGCTGACAGGCCACATCCAGACACTGCTCATGGCTGTGTGGTACCCAGGCAGTTGTTTCTGCTAGCTGAAGGCCTGGCTCACTTAACGCTTCCTCAATGTCACCCACAGGCTTAGGCACCAGCCTGGGGTAGGTTGCAAAGCTGTTCAAGTAACTCTGCTTGGTTTGGAATTACTTAGATGGGGGTTTTGTTGCTTTGGATTTAAGAAAAATACCCTCCTTGGCCTTCCTAAAAGCTTCCTGACAAAAGAATCGCTAACTGATGTCTGAATGTGACCCTCTTGAGAGCATGAACATCATAAATCATCCCAAACAAACCAAAGACGTGCACAATTGTGGGTGAAAGGCACCATATGTCCAGTGTGGTGCCTGCCAAGTTAACTGCTTGTCTAAAAGATCCTGTGGTGAATGAGAACTGCGTGGCCATATGGTGTATTATTTGCTGGTTGGGTTGTCTTGGATCACTCACACAAGCATCATGCTCTTCCTTAGCATCATAGCTGCTGTGTGAATTCAGTTCTTTCCTGGCTTTAATGCAAGATAGTCCTGGTCACTGATACATGGAGACAAAGGTGCCTGGTTGGAACCCATCAGCTGCAAGCAGGGCCTAGGAGCCGGAGCAGTGTAACTCACCATGAAAGCCCGTTTCTCCTGAGCTGTCTGGAAGCGTCCGTGGCCAAACTTGGAAGTGGTATCAATGAATTTGAGCTCAATGGCTTCCTGAGAGCGGCGGCTCGTCTGCACCAGAAGGGACTGGGAAAGAAGAGTCACAATGCATCAGGATGACTGCTAGAGACCATCTGGACATGTGCTCTGATGGAGGCAGGGTTGAGTCCTAGGTGCATCCATCAGACAGGTACCTGCCTTCTCAGAGACACCCCTGGTGCTCAGGTGATGCCTTGCATTGCAGAGCAGCTCTCAAGGTGCTTAACACCAAGGTGCTGGGCCCTGCATCGTGGCCCTCAAACACTTGCAGCTTCTGTCTCCAGAGAGAGTGCCTCCCTCTAGCTGCCAATGGTCTCACTGAGCACCACATCATGAGCCACATGCCCCCAGCAGCACAGAGCCAAGGGCCTCCCCAGCCTCTGGCATCCTCCACACGGTGAATCAGCCCATAGACTGTCCCCCAGCACCCCTGCGCTCTCACCTTACGCAGGGTGAGCACACGCTTCTTCGTGCCCATGACGCAGCCCTTCAGCATGAGGAAGTCGTTGTTGACCTCTCCATAGTGAGGAAAACCACCCTGTGGGGAGAGGCAGGAGAGCTGGGTACGGGAGACATGGCCAAGGGTGGCATTTCCTAGCAAAGGAGGCGGTGACTGACAGCCCCTCCAGCTAAGGACACTGCACCCACCAGCCTGCCTGCTCAGGACCACCAGAGCGGGTCACACTGACTGCAGGATCTCAGTTAAGGGGTGCCCCATAAGAGCTGGGGAGGCAGTAACCCTGCTTCCTTCCCTGAGGGATGTGGGTGAACAGAGAGCGGAGCTGGCTGGACTCCCAAGCTAGCAGCTTTAATAAGCCAAAGTGAACTTTAAGGCCAAGTTACAAACGTTTATCTGTTAAGGATCAGATTTTTAATGTAATTTATGCTTTTTTTTCTATTTAAACCAAGTTCTCCATTCCTGCCAAAGTTATCAGCTGGAAGTTTAATGTTTGGGTCTACCAATGGGCCTAAAAAACACCACAGAGAGATGGTTTTCCATGTCCAAAACATGAGGAAAGGAATCACTGCATTTCTTTCAGTGAATTTCCTTCCAATCGTTTCCTATGCAGCTGTCCCCAGGCATGGAATTACTTCCTTGGCTCAGATTCCCGCAGCCAGGATCAGTCACAGCCCTGGCACCCCCTCAGCCCTTACCATAGGAGTAATGGTCTTCTCTGTGAGATCGTAGTGCGTCGAGGCGTTGTTCTTCACCACCTTGCCATCCTCCACATGGATCCCATGGCCGATGCGGTAGATCTAGAACAGAAAGGACATGGAGATGGTGACTTCTGTGTCCCGTCGCTGAGGGATGCCACAGGAATGACACAGTGTTCCCCAAGGTGTGCCTTCAGTAGGGAAAAACACTGGGAAAGACATGGAAAATCTCCAAGGAAATGTTGGAGAAGCTTTGGGGAGCAGAGGCCACCCTGCAGAGGAGGATGGTGTCAGCATGGGAGGGAGGAAGGCGCTCTGAGGGCGCCCATCGGGGCCATACCTTCTTGTTGAGCTCCGTGCGGTGGTGGTAGCCCTTCTGGCCAGCCCGGGCAATGGAGTAGCCAACCCGGGACGGGTGCCAGGCTCCGATGCAGGCCACCTTGCGCAAGCCCTTGTGCGTCTTCCTGGGGAGCTTCTTGGTGTGCCAGCGGCTCGTCACCCCTGCAAGTGCGACCAGAGAGGGCGGTGAGAGCCCCAGCGAGGGGCAGAGCTCGTGTTCGAGTGCTGGGGATGGGACAGGCTCCATCATCCCGCTGCAGTTCTGAGATGACTCCGTGTTGGAAGGAGCCCAAGAGCTGTCACCACCGCGAGAGGCTGGAGCACAGAACTGTTCTCACTTCCCATGGATCCCATCAGGCTGAGATCTGCTCTTGCTGAGCACAGGCAGTGCAGCCACAGGAACGCCCACACCTCCACACACGTGGGGTTTGTGAGAAGTTCAATGGCTCTGAGTACTCACGGTGCCTCTGAGCACCAACATGAGCAGGCAACATGGGCTTCACTTGAAATCACAGAAACCAAGCTCTGCTGCAATGGAGCTGCATGGCATGGGCTTTGCTACTCCTGAAGCAGTAAGTCAGTGGGTTCTCTAACACTGCTTTACCCTAGGGACAGTGTCAGATGAGGACAGCATCAAGCTGCTGGCAAAGGTCTCCTTGCTCTGTACCTTTCATCCCGTGCCCCTTGGTCACGCCAATGACATCAATCATCTCGTTCTGGCTGAAGACGCTGTGCACAGAGACCTGCTTCTCCAGCCTCTCCCGAACCCAGTCCACCTTGTCAGCCACTGTCCCACCGTTCAGCTGGATCTCCATCACGTGGGCCTTCTTCTGCCGCAGCGGGAGCAGCTTCATCTGCATTACACAGGGCAAAATGCTGCTCCTTGCCCCACAGACATGAACACAGAGGCAGGGCTGTGTCACACCCCACTTGTGAGGGGCACAGGGGGGGAGCAGAGCTCTTCAACACCCCTCTCTGTTACACCCTCAACCCACTTCATAACAGTCAGCATCCTGGGTCCCCATGCCTGTATATCTGGGACCTCTTGGAGGCAACTCCTTATCCTTGAGCCCAACCACCCCATCTCCCAGTGCTTCCATTGCAGGCAGGAGCTGATGCACACCCGCTCTCCAGGGAGCACAGGACCAAGCCAGCCTCATCCTACCCCAAGAGTTAAGCCCAGCAGTAACAGCCATGGTAGGTGGGTGCCCCAGAGGAGCCCAGCACTAGAGCCCCCTCTAAAACAGAGCACTGTGAGGAGCCAGGATGCAGCTCCCTGCTCTGAGACAGTCAGTGCCTCTCCTTTGGTCGTGCTCCACCTCTGCTTCCACACTGAGCAGTTATTCCTAGCTCCCAGCAAGAGGTGCCTCCGCTCTCTCCCACCCCCAGTAGTGTTCATAGCCCCTGCCAAACTGCCACAGTGGGGCTTTGAGGTTCTGTGCCAGCTACAAGGGAAGCCTGGAGCCAGCTTAGCTCTGTCCCAGCCTCCAAAGCAGACGTTAACTCCAGGGATCAGCAGGAAAACCGTCCCTGTGTGCCCAGCAATCAGCATCTGGCAAAACCAGGCCTGCCCCTGGGTTATTTTTGCCCAAAACACTTGACACCGGTTGCTAATTTGAGGTGATCATGGGGCCTGAGGTCCCTGTGCTGACACAGGGCTCAGCACCTGCTGAGGCTCCGTGTGCTCCGCTCTCCTCTATGGGGTGTATGAGCTCCTGAACCACAGCCCCTGCAGCAATTCCGGCCTCAAAGGGACAGTGCTGGTGTCAGGAGGGAGCCTCCCATTGCCTTTAGACCCTGTCCCACACCCCCTGGCCAGTGTCTGCTTGCTCAGCCTCCTGTGACCCCCCCATGATCCCACCTCCCAGGTCCACACTTCCCACCTAAGGAAGAGCCAGAAGCCCCCTTGCCCACCCCAGGAACGAGGCTCTGACCTGTGTGTGCACAATGACACGAATGACCTTGCAGTACTTCTTCATAGCTGCAAAATCCTTCTCCAGCTGCCTTTTGCCATCCTCATCCTGCCACTTTTTGCAGTACTTGGTGAACGCCTTCTTCTTGCTCTTGTGCCTACAAGCAAAGCGGTTTAACACCCAGGCAAGCTGGATGGTGAAGTGCTTCTGCACATCCCTGCGCCCTGGGACAGCGGGGAGGGACCCATCACCCTGCCAGGTGCCTTAAGTGTCAGGGCCAGCACCCAGGGGTGTGAAGTGGGAAGAGGCAAGTGAATAATGAGCTGTGACAAGGGCTGGTAATTCAAACCTTTCTGCATGAGGAATCCAATTGTCTCCCACTGACGGGCTCAGTGCCACCAACATGCAAGTGCAAACTCAGAGTGAAGCGGGGAACACAGCCTCTAACAGGGATCAGAGGGATGGGGTGGGTGGGTCTCAACAGCACTTTATGGGAGACACGATTCCTGCAGTCGTGTTTCCATTTTCCTCTCTGCTGGTGTGGGGTTTGGGGCACCGATGTTTAACAAGAGCCAAGGGGCACATTCTGCATCAGCTTTCCCCCAACAAATCGGGTTTTCCTCCCTTCATTTGGTGCCTCAGCTCGAGTGTTCCAGTTCAGTGGAGAGCAGATGAGCCCACACTAAGGAAAATGAACCTGCAGCACACGCTGCCATGTGATATTGTGCAGAGCTCACCCAGTTCAGCTATTAGAATACATTTACATACGCATATGCCCATTGCCAGCACCAAGCTGTTTGCAGCATCTCTGTGCATGACTAAAGCTGCAGTTTCTCTCCAGCCCAGAGCCAGCTGCCTGCGGCTGAGCTGTTTGCAATGGTTGGGTATCGGTGGGGAGGATGAAAGGGGGACCCCTCGCATGCAGCACCCCAGGGACCCTCCCCAGCACGCACCAGTTCCTGTAGAAGCGCCGCCGGCACTCGTCACTGATGTGCTCAGCAAACACTGTCTTGAAATTCCTCAGCCCCTTCGGGGTTTCTATGTACCCCACAACCCCAACCACCACCAGCGGAGGGGTCTCAATGATGGTCACGGCCTCCACCTCCTCCCTCTTAGAGATCTCTGCAAGATAGGAAAGGGAAGCAGTGCTCGGTGTTGTTTAGGATCAGATCATTCCCTAAAGCCACTTGGTAACGGTTGGACTTGAGGATCTTAAAGGTCTTTTCCAACCCGGTTGATTCTGTGATTCCATGATGTTACAGTGAGCAAGCAGTGTGTTAGGGGCAAGGTCACACTATAGCTTCTCAGCCAGCATCAGCCCTTCCATCTCCCACCTACTGGAGGACCACATGGGGTTCAATCTCTAGAGCTTAGACCCTGTGGTCCAGCAGCATTAACCCACCTTCGCAGCGGGGGGAAGCATCACATTGGGTGGCTCTTGCCTTGGATATCTCAGAGGGTAACATAAATTCCCCAGCAAGATGCTTCAAGCCCAGGAGTTACCCTGCATGATCCTTCTGCCAGCAGGATCCACCGGTCTCCATCCCAGTGTGGGGACTTCCCAGCAATCCCTAAGGCAGCCCTTGGCCATCCAACACCTGGATGGTGGTTGAGGACACATCCCTGGATGCTATGTGCCTCACCACCCATTCCCAGCAGCAGCCTCTCCCACCAGCATCTCTTGTTTCCATCCGGGATGCAGCTCCTTCCTTCCTCCCGACAGCACTTACTGAGCCCAGGCCTGTGCACCTCCCGCACGGTGTGCGTCATTCCCGCTTTGTAGCCCAGGAAAGCCGTCAGGTGCACTGGTTTGCTGGGATCATCCTTCGGCCACGACTTCACCTTCCCTCGGTGGCGCCGGCTCCTCTTGTGGGGAAGGAAGCCCAAGTGGCCGTGCCTGGGAGCGGAGAACTTGCGGTGGGACTGCAGGGAGGAGGAACAAAGGGGATCAGCCTCATGGTGGGCTCCTAGAAGGGAAAGCTCAATGGGAAACACCCCCTTTAACATCAATGAATGCTGGAGGGGGTCTGGATTCTGCCTTGATTCCAACAGGAGAAAAAGATCCCATAACAGGATGGGATTTATGTTCAAGCTTCCAGCACAGGCATGGAAGAAATCAGTGAGTTTCTGGACAAATGGTGCCAATGAAATGAAAACAAACTTGAAAAGGTCTCCTTCCTTCTGCTTAAGGACTTTGAATGAGAAATACATCCCTTGATGGGTCCGTCCCCCTGTGATGTTAATTATAACGGCTCATTTTGTGCTCTTCGGCACCAAAATGGCCCGCTCAGGATTGACGGGCTTCGTGACATCGAGACCAACGGCACCAAACAGCTAACGATCAGGAATAACAGGCAGGGATGCCCAAAGGAATCCGTAATAAGAACACGTGCAGGTTAAACGCGCACCTGGAAACCAAATTAGCAGAGCTAAATATAGAAACCCCAGGCACAAGGTCACGCTGAGAGAAAGCAACAGCGCCTGAGAGGCACCAACAGGGCTGGCCCCAAGGCAGGGAGCTTGCCCAAGCAGCACAGGGTTAGTTCTACACCCACTGCATCCCCTCTGTGCTCAGGTCAGTGGCAGCTCCGGGTGACCCTTCCCACCAAGCCCATCTCCCACCAGCGCTGTGCGCACAGAGGGGAGGCAGCAGCATGGAGCGTTACAGACCATGGGATGTCTTCAGCCCGCTCGGCAGCAGCAGGAGGCGGTTGGGCAGCGCTGCCCAGGCAATCCTTAAGATGTTTATGAGGCTGAAGACACAAATTTAGCCGCTAGCTTCACCCGCTGCTATATCCATCCCGGGCTGGCAGGTTGGACGTAGCAGTTGCGGTGTGATAAAGGTCAAAGGCCCGGGGCTCAGCTTACACTCGTCCCTCCTGAACAACCGGAATGTGAACGGCTCCCGTTGGGATGATGGGGAAAACGGGCACCATGCACATAGAGATGGGCAGCCCGGGCTCGCTGCAGTGCTCTGGGTACGGGTACACTGAAACGCCTCCATCAGCCCAGGAGGGAATGGATTTATGGTTCTGGATGAGGGGATTGGGGCACCTGCGGTGAATTTGGAGCAATGGGATTTGTACCTGAGCTCACTTCTGAGCTCCTCACTACAGGAGAGACATTGAGGGGCTGGAGCAGGGCCAGGGAAGGGCAATGGAGCTGGTGCAGAGCCTGGAGCACAGGGGTGACGGGGAACGGCTGCGGACTCAGTCTGGGGAAGAGAAGGCTCAGGGGGGACCTGATGGCTCCCTACAACTGCCTGACAGGAGGATGGAGCCAGGAGGGGCTGGGCTCTGCTCCCAAGGAACAAGGGATGGGACAAGAGGAACCGGCCTCAAGCTGCACCAGGGCAGGTTTAGATGGAGCTGAGGAACAATTCCTGCCCCAGAGGGTGCTCAGGCATTGGAACAGGCTGCCCAGGGCAGGGCTGCAGGCACCGTCCCTGCAAGTGTTCACACCCCGTGGAGACGAGGCCTCAGTGCCATGGGTTAGCGGTGGCCTTGGCAGTGGTGGGGTACGGGTTGGACTGGGTGAGCTTAAAGGGTTTTTCCAACCCGGTTGATCCAACGGCTCCGACCGGCACCGGTGGCGGAGACGCCCCAAGGCGCTGCAGGGACTACACCTCCCGGCATGCACCGGGCGCGGCGGAGCATGCGTAGAGAGCCCCCTCTGGCCCCGCCGCCATCTCGCCCGCGCCGCCGCCGCCGCCATGGCGGAGGACAGCAACCGGGACGCGTACAAGGTGCCCCCGACCCGCACCCCCGTCTCCGAGAGGACCTCGTCGCTGCCGGACCCCGCCGCCTTCTTCCAGACCGCCTTCAGCTACGTCATCGATGCGCCCGTCACCTTCGTGCGAGGTACCGGGAGGATAGGACACCCCCCCCATCCCACCGCTGCCGGCGGGCCTAGGGCCGCTCCGCGGTGCAGTGAGGGGAGCGGGGATAAGGGCAAGGGGTGGGCACACAAGGACACGGCCGCTGGGACCGGCATAGGGAGATGGGACTGACCGGGACACAGACTAGGATACAGCAGGGACAGGCACGGAGTGGGATAGACCGGGACACAGCAGGGATGGAGGGACAGACACGGATGCAGGACACGGACAAGGAGACAGCAGGGGCAGGCACAGACTTGGAATACAAAGATACAGCATGGACAGATAGATGTGGGGCACAGAATACAGCACGGACACTGGGACATGGGGCATATCAAAGACATAGGGATGTGCACCCATACAGGGCCATGGGACACAGCAGGGACAGACACAGGGACGCAGGATACAGATAAGAACAAAACGTGTATATTGTGTTCAGACACGGATGTGGGACACATTAGAACACAGCATGCACACGGGGTCAGACATGGGGACGTGGGACGCAGACAAGGACACAGCAGGGGCAGGACAGACACAGGAACATGGACAAGACAGCAGGGATGGGGAGCACCAACCTGAGGCGGGGGAAGGCAGCAGCAGCACCGAGCAGTGAAGCTTTGGCAGGCACTGGGGCCATGCTGCCCCTCTGTAGCTGTGGGTCAGGGGTGTCTGACCGTGGGGCTGTCGCTGCAGAGTGGATCGAGCGCCAGCAGGCCAAGAACAAGCACTACTACTACCACCAGAAGTTCCGCCGTGTGCCCGACCTGAGCGAGTGTCTGGAGGGAGACTACCTCTGCTTCTATGAGGCCGAAGCGCAGTGGAGGAGGGACAGGTATGGCTGTCACTGCTCTGGTTGTCACCTCTGGGACCTGCAGCCCTTGGCTTGAACTCACAGCCTTGTCACGGACTCTGGGGTGTTGACAGCACCTCCTGCCCACTCCCTTGTAGAACACCCCTTCCACAGGGCTCTTGTCCCCTGCAGCACCCCCAGGTCACGAGAACACATCCTCCCATGCTGTCTGGTTCCTACACCTGAGCTTCCACAAGGATCCACCCCCCATTGGCTGTTCTATCACCTCTTGGCTGGGATTGGAGTCACCTCTATCTTTCCCACAGGATGGTGGATCAGGAAATCGTGGAAATAGTCCGGGAAAGGCTCAGTGCTTGCAAGCAAAGGGAGGGACCCAACCAGTTCCAGAACTGTGCCAAGGAGGCAGAGCTGCTGGCGCAGGTTACCAAAGCCTACCAGGACAAATGTGAGTACAGCACCAGCATTTGGGGTCACACAGGCATCAGGGATCTTGAGCTGCATCCCAAACAGGGGCACATTTCTTTCTAGCCACAGAGCCATGCTTCACACATTCACTTTCTTTTTAGATGGTGATCTTGGTGTCCATGGAAATGCAAGGACTTGCCTGATGAAGCAGAAGCACAGGATGATGGAGGAGAGGAAAGCACAAGCCAGTGCCTCTGAGTAGGTGTGAATGGTTCACAGGTCTCTGTGGTGCTTGTACCTGATTCTGCATGCTGCATCTTTCAGCTCTGATGCTGTTGACCTCTACAATAAATGTGCAGAACAGCACATCTGCCATACAGCTGGAATCTGGACTCATTCTTTGAAGGAATCTGAAAACCCTTAAGAGAACTCTTCCTGTATTCAGCTCTGCTGAAATAGCAGTATCTTTGCATTCCAGCTGATCATCACCTTCCCCTAAACCATGGTCAGCCCCCCTGGCTGCCTTACATGGGATTTCCCACTGGACCTCTCCCCACCTCCCTAATTAAGGTGAAGAGCACATGATGTAGGACAGCAAAGTTGGCTCTAGAACCCACTTAGGGACTAATAGAAGATGAACAAGGATCAGCACAGCCCAGTACACTTTCAATTCAACAGCTATTCAGGCTCTGGCCTGCAGACATGAACCCGCCCAAATCCCCAGCAGATTCATCCACTCAAAAGCATTCACCATCCCATTAAACCAGTTGCAATCTCTTGTTCACTGATCACTTTATTGTCTTGCTCCAAACCCACTTAAGTGGTTGCCACAGCAGCTGCCTGGGTTCTCTGCACAGACACTCTGGTGTGGGTCTTCGCCAGGTGATCAGTGAACTCCTGCAAAGAAACAACCCAAACAGTGTTTTATTTCCTTAACCACAACCCAGGGGTTTCTCAGCACCACATCCCTTCCCAACAGTTGTGTGAGGCCTGAGGTACTCCACATACAAGATAGTATTTCAAAGCTTTCCTATTCCCTTTACCCATTAAATAACCTGGCAGTCAACTCTGACTGCGACACCACTCTCTTGCTGTTCAAATGAATCCTTTGGGAACAGCACCTGAACTTTAAAGGGCAGGATTTGGGCTGTGAATTGCAGCATCACTCTCACCTGGTAAGGAGACTTGGTGAACACAGTCTCTTTCCAGAGGTCAGGAGTCAGGTAACTGTAGGTCTTGGAGATGGCATCAAAGGTGGCTTTAGCTATGGAGAGAAGTCAAACATTGCTCATTGCTGCCACAGAAGCCAGCTCACTGTGCCCAGCCCCACTGCTCCAAAGGTGTAGAATTGAGCATGGAACAGGGAGACCACAGCAGGGTCTCTCTGATGTGCACACACAGCTCAGGTTTCTTTCTCTCACCATATACGACAATTACACTACTTCAACCAAGTGCAATCGCGCAGATTGGGAGATGTTTTACTATCAATGCACATAAAAAAAGACAATTTATCATTAATTTTTACAGACCTTTAGAATTACCTACAACAGGATGAACCTGTGTTGTAAGAGGTATCAGCAGAAGCCTTTCCTTCTGCTTCACTGCTCAAATTGAATCAACACCGATTAAACACTGGAGATGGGTACACTGTGCCCCTATCAGTGACACGGGTAACAACACACACAGCTAAGATGCAGCACAAAGCCCTGAAGCTCACCAAAGTTGCCAAGCGTGGCCGTGCAGCCCCTGGCTGAGGTGTAGCAGTCATCAATCCCAGCCATCATCAGCAGCTTCTTGGGGACAGGCGCAGACACGATCCCTGTGCCACGGGGAGCCGGGATCAGACGCACCAGGACAGATCCACACCGGCCAGTGACCTACAGAGACACACCAGGTCATGGCTCCCAAAACACACACTGATCACCAAGCCCAGGCCTGGGAGCCCTGCTCACCTTGCAAGGCACGGTGTGGGGTTTGCCGATCTTGTTGCCCCAGTAGCCCCGCCGTACGGGCACGATGGACAGCTTAGCCAGGATGATCGCCCCACGAATAGCAGTGGCAACTTCCTTAGAGCACTTAACACCGAGACCGACATGGCCATTGTAGTCCCCAATAGCAACAAAAGCCTGGGATGGAAAGAGGAGTTTTCAGTTGTGGTTGAGCTGCTCAGACCAGTGGGGTCTCCCCCAGCAACGGTAACCCAAGCTGCACACTCAGCAGTGAGCAGTCACAGCTCACCCAGACACAAATCAAACCCCACATGCTAAACTCTGCACACCAGAGCTCACAGCTCAAACAGCCCATCTCCCTGCCCCCCAAGAGCTCATCCTTCCGAAGCTGAAGCCAAAGAATTGGGAGTCAATTCTATGTTATAGCCTCCTACTACTCAAAAATCCCATTAATTCCCAAGCATCATTCCCTTATGACATGACACCCAAGGCTTCTCTCTCTGCCACAGGCCCTGAAAAGCCAAGACTGCTGAGCAGACACAACTTAGTTTTGTGCTGTGACTGCTTTCAGTAACATCTGAACACATTGCTAACGTTTACACAGCTACTTCTTAAGCCACCCAAACTGATCCTCACACCAAAACATTTTGTAGTTACTACATAAAAGAATAAAGGTATTTGAACTGATTTGTTAGTTCAATACCAAAACAGCAGCAGACCACATACATAACACAAGAGAAAGACAAGGCCACCTTAAACCTGGTGCGCTGACCAGCCCGAGTCTGCTTCTGGACAGGCATGATCTTCAAAACCTCGTCCTTCAAAGAGGACCCCAAGAAGAAATCGATGATCTCCGACTCCTGCAAGAATCAGACATTGAACCACACAAGGCCTCACTTTCTAAACAACACAGCTTGTAAAGCTCCTACATTTACCATCAACAATAAACACGTTTTTAAAGGAAGTTACTTAAATACATTAAGTTTCACAGGCATGAGCTGGCTCCAGCTGCTGCACGGTCCAGTAAAAGTTTAAAGCTTCATTCTTCCGATCTGAGCAGCACTATCACAGAAGCACTTGAGCAATGCGCTGCCTCCCCACACGAGGCAGAAGACAAACCCCATCGCACTTCACTAAAAGCACCCCCACCAGCCCTCAGCTACTGTCCATTCATGTCACTATCCCAAACACATCACTTGAGCATCCTAAATGCAAGTGCAGCAGCTGCTGCCAGCTCCATAGCTCAGGTTAAAGCTCTCCTGCACGTTATGCAGTGTCCATAGAAGCTTACCTTGATTGGAAGCGAGAAGAGATAGATCTCCTCAAGAGACTTGATCTTCATATCCTTAACCAGGCGACCAAGCTTGGTGACAGGAATCCACTAGCAAAGAAATCCATGGGAAAGGGTCACCGGCAGCACCCCAGGGGAACCGGCTCCAGCTTCCAAACAGACACAGCCTCTTCCCACCCCGCTCCTGGGTCCCCACCACACACCTCCAGGAACCACTTACTTCCTTATCTTCAGCCTTGCCTCCGCGAGCCCCACGGCCTCTCCCTCGGCCCCGTCCACGGCCGCGCCCGCGGCCCCGCAGCCCGGTCCCGAAGCCGCCGCGGAAGCCCCCTCGGGCCGCTCCCGCACCTCCTGCAGCACCGGCGTCATCCGCCATTTGCTAGACAAAAGAAGGGCGCGTTAAGGCAGGATCCGGCGGGTACCCCCGTTGCTCCGGCCGCACGGATGGACACCGATCCGGTGCAGGCCGCACCAACACCATCCCTCCCTGCCGCCATCGCTCCCTCACTCACGTGTTCTCAGAGTAGAAGGCCGCACGGCCCCACCGATGGGTATTTATAGTCTGAGAGGTCTCGCGAGAGTACCGCCTGGCAGTGCAGCCCCGCACGCTGAATGAGGAATACGCCCGGGGCAGAGCGGTGCGTTGCGCTCACTTATACAGGGTCCGGGGCTCCGAGACCACGTTGTCACTGCGCGGTGTGTGTATATAAGGGAGCGCAGGCGTGGGGCGCTCAGTTTGGGGAGAGCCACGGTAGGTGGTGGGTGTGTGTCTTTGTGGTTGTGGTGGTATATTACTCCATTCCCTGTTCTTTAAGCTTATCAAAGCACCTTTTGGGCTGTGTTTATGGTGTTGCTGAGCTGATGCCGGGTGGGATCTCGGTGAGCGGCCTTAGAAGGTGCATTGGGGGTCGTGTTAGCTCCAGGCGCGGTCTGAAAATCACTTGGGTTCTCGTGTGGTCCCTGGTGAGATAACTGTGCCGACAGCAAAGGGAACATAAAGCTTACTGCCTGCGGTGACGTGCGGGGAGTGAAACCCATGTTCCCATAGTCCCTGTACTGGGATATACCCGTTTATACACTGGGTGTTAATGGGGGTAATGCGCGCTGAGTGAGCGGCTCTTCTCATCGCTGACTTTGTCTCCTTAGGCAGGGGCTGCGCTCTTCCTGGATGGATGGACAGCGGTACCATGTGCTCCTTGTGCCTTCACAAGGGCTCTCCTCGCTGCTTATGACAGCTATGCAGGGCAAGCGGTGCTGCGGCGGACGATGATGGAGTACTCACAGCAGAAGCACTTTGAAGTGGTCTTGTTCTGTATTTCTATGTGCAATAAAGGGTGGATTACTTGAAAGCCCATGTGTTGAGTCTCTAGCTGTTGTTTCTATAGCATAACCCGCCCGTTTTTCGCGGTGGTTGGGCCGGGAAGTCGCTTTCCTGCGGGCAGAGCAGGGATGCTCTGCTAGGCTGTTCTGCCCCGCCGTTCATGCGGTACCGGCTGCTCACGCCCGTTATCCTGGGGGCTGCCAGGTGCCACAGCAGCCATGGCGCCCGTGGTGTCTCCTCCGCTACGTCACTCATATGCGCCGGAAGCGGTGCCCTTCACCCGTAGCAACCGGGAGCGCCGGAAGCGGCCCGCATGCGGTGTTGGACATGGAGGAGGAGGCCGCCAGCACCCTGCGCTTCAAGAGCAAGTGAGGAGGGATCGGGGCGTCTGGGGCCGGGGATACTGGAGCCGCCGGGGCTGGACGTGTGTGCTGGGGCCAAGTGGTTTGGGTTTAACCGCGTTCCTGCGCGGGTCTCTCTGTGTCTTGCAGCTACGCCGTATCAAGGAAGATCGAGCCTTTCTACAAGGGAGGGAGAGTCCAGGTAATGCCCGACGCGAGGCGGGTTTGGGGACTCCCCTTTCCCCTGGCTCTGTGCCATTCCCGCTTCCCGTTCCCTTTCCTGCAGGTGAACCGAGATGGGAAGTTCATGTTCTGCCCCTGCGGGAACAAGCTCAATATCATCGAGGTGGAAACGGGAGCTCTGCAGAGCCTCCAGCAGGTGAGGGGTGGTCCAGGCTCCGTGGCTGGTGGTGAAATCCCTGAGGGCTCTCAGAGGCTCCTGGGGTGTTTCACTGCTGTTGATCTAAAGCAGGGGGGAGGATGAGGAAGCTCTAAACACAGGCAGATGCTACTTGTGTTGTCATAAGTGCAGCTGGGAGCTGCTGTGCATAGAGAAGGGACCTTTGAGAGCCTCCATGATTTCTTTAACCATGGGGTTTTACCTTTTGTTTTCATAGGATGAGGAGGAGGACATCACTGCGTTTGTTGTTAGTCCTGACGATGAGGTATGCATTTGCTTTGTGGGTTTCTTTGCTGTTCTGTCAGGTCTCCTGGTAAAGCCAGTGAAAGCTGAAGGCTGCCTTGCATGTGCTTCCAGAGATCTCTATGGAGGTGTTTCCATCTGTCTCCCCTCTGGGTTTGAGTCAGAGGAACACCGAGAGACTGAGCTGTAATGAGTATCGCATCAATGGGCATTTCTATGCTTTGTACTGACAGAAATTGAACTCAAATTAGGGGTTCATTTTGCTTTTCTTCCCCTTGCTGTTGTGTTAGATCCTTGTGACCGGGAGCCGGGCGCTGCTGCTCAAGCAGTGGAACTGGCGAGAGAACCAGTGTGTCCGCACGTGGAAGGCCGTGCACGTAGCGCCCGTGGCTGCCATGGCCTTTGACTCTACCTCAACGCTGCTGGCCACAGGTATGGGCCCACCTCCTGCTCACATCAGGGGAGGGATATCGAGTGGCCCTTCAGCTTCTGAATAATTCAGCTGAGCTGGACACAGCCCGAGGTAGTGATCTCCTGAGGTCAGGCAGGGTCAAAGGAGGTTTTACTTGGATAGCAATGATGGCTTGGCAGACAGCAAGAAATCCTTTCAATGTTCTATCTAAAGTATATAGAATAAAATGCTCTTAAATATCAGGCATCTATGAGGCAGTGCAGCATCGTTATCCTGGTGTAGAACAGGGACTCCTGGAGGTGGAGGAGATCAGGCATTACTTGTGACTTCATTGTACTCAGGTCTGACTCTGAGCTGTCAGGTTTTGTCCACCTCTCTGAATGTATAAGATGCTCCCTGGGCTCCTCTTGCTGTGGGTGGTTCTTACTGGATTCATTTTTCCTTCTGCTGCCGTTGCAGTCCATGAAACTTTACAGTGGCTGATATGTTGGACCTCCTCTCTCCTTCATAATTCATTCTTATGTGCCCTTCTTTTCCCAGGTGGCTGTGACAGCACTATTAAGATCTGGGATATGATCAAACAGTACTGCACACACAACCTAAAAGGATCTTCAGGAGTTGTACAGTAAGGACAAGTCATATTTGTCCAGCACTGGCATTAGTGTAGTGCTTGGATGCTGGGATTGATGTGGAATGTCTTGAGTTAATGGAATATAAAGGCCCGTTTGATGCAGGTTCTGGGGTCTTCTGCTTCCTGACTTGTGAGATGTGTAGAGAAGGAGCAGGGCTATGACTGACCTTAGCCCAGAGAGAAAAGGGTTTGGCCAAGGAATTTGTTGGGATGTAAATGGAGTATCTGTGCTTGCTAATGGATGTACATTAAGAACATGAAAAGACTGTCAAAGATAGTTGTAAATGGGTGGCAGAGGAATGAAGTCCTACAAAAAAGTTGATCAAAAGTACATTGATGTCAATCAATCTATCAATCCCTTTGTGTAGAATGCATGTTTATTTGTTAGGCTAACGCTATTCAAGTACATCTGTCCCATTCAAGTGCCCCTCCTTCTGTCTAGCCTTGTGGAGTTCCACCCTGATACATCCCGTCTGCAACTCTTCTCCTCCTCAATGGACTACAAAATCCGCATCTGGGACCTGAATTCCAGCAAGTGTGTTGCTGTGTTGGATGGACACTTCAGTGCTGTCACCTCACTGGCGTTTGCAGATGGAAACACGCTCCTTAGGTAAAAGTCTGTAGGGTTTTAGCCTGTCTCTCCCCTTCACCTGCCAGAGACCGGGGATTTCTTTAGGGTCTGGGAAGGTTTTGAGAAGCAAACTACAAGTATTCAGTGTCTGCTTGAGGGGTGTTTCTGGCAGTATCCTGTGCTGCCATATGGAGGGCTGGTGCTTGGGCCTCTGCAGAGAGGTGCTGAACCCCCCCAGTTCCAAGCTGGCACTCAGAGTTTGAGTTCTCAGTCTCAGTTGAATGGATTTAGCACCAAAACTGCTCTTTTACCTTCCAGTTCTGGCCGGGATAAAATCTGCATCGTGTGGGACCTGGAAACCAGAGAGAACAAACACACTGTCCCTGTCTATGAGGTGAAGTTGCATTTCACTTATTCCTCTAAGAACCTTTGCAGTTTCTAGCTCAGCCCTACAGCACCTCTCCCTCTTTAGCTTCCTCTGTATGGTGAAAGCAGGTTTCTCCCCATTATGCTTCCCAGAGGCCTTAAAACTCTGTGTCTAAAGCTCTTTATTTTCTTCTCTTTTCTCGGTGTGGGCAGTTGAGGAAATACATGCCACTGCTGCCTCCACTGCCCCAGTGCTAGAGGAGGGAAGGACACTCATGTCAAACCTTCCTTCTCTCGCTGTATTCACTGCTTATCTTCAGTAGCTGTGCAGTCTGGGGAGCAGTGTGGATGCTGTGTGTGTGTCAGCACTAGCAGGCTGTTCACAGCTCTGGTTGCTGAAGTGGGAGCCCAGTCCCTTGTGCTCAGCTGGTGCTTGGCCAATTCATTTGCAGAGCGTGGAAGCTGCTGTCTTGTTACCAGAAAAGGGAGATTTCTCTCAGCTGGGTGTGAAGAAGCAAGGGTTGCACTTTGTCACAGCTGGCAGCAAAGGTGAGTGTCCTGGTGTGTCACTGCTGGCTCTGGAGGCTGAGGAAGGGTGGTACTTGCAACACTGCATTGACAGTATACCTGGGATGGGTGTCCTTTGGGTGGCAGAATCCTTGGGCTGAATTCCTGAGGGCTGGAGAGCAGAGGTTTCTCCTGAATCCAACAGCAGTAAATGAGCAGGATTGATCAGGCATGCCTGGAGCTTTATCTATGTGTGCTTTCAAACTGCAATGAAGTTTGGTTTGGACAGAAGAAAATCTTTGTGTCTCTTTGCCACTGTGGCTGGATCTCTTCATAGCCTTAAAGCTCAGCAATTTCCAGTAGGCAAGGCCAGAGTTTGTTTTATATTCTTTGGACAATCACTGTCTAAAACAACAGGTAATTTATATCCTTATTTTTTATCAGGTATCCTGAAAGTTTGGGAAGTGGCCACAGCTGCTTGTGTGTATTCCCAGCCTGTGCCCTTTGAGCTGAAGGAGGAGGCCAGCGAGCGCAGTGTCACCCAGTGCATGCTGGTGCCTGAGAGAAATGAGATTGTCACAGTGTCTGTGGAGCACAACATTGTTTTCTATGATGCTCAAACTCTTCAGCTCAGGAAGCAGGTAATAACCCTTAGCCTCCCTTTTCCTTTATCCATACTTTGGGATCAGCTCTGCTTCTGGGGAAAGCATGATGCCATTCAGTACTTCTCTAACCAGCTTTTCGCTGTTCAACTGTTTCTGTTCTGCCATCCTTAGCTTGCAGGTTACAACGATGAGGTTCTGGATGTGAAGTTCCTTGGGCCTGCTGATTCTCACATTGTGGTGGCTACCAATAGCCCTCAGCTGAAGGTGTTTGAACTGGCAACGTCACACTGCCAAATCCTCTATGGCCACACAGGTCAGTGGTCAGCTCTGAAGTGGATGGGTGAGAGATGGTCAAGTATAGCTTGATCTGTCACAACCCATGTGTGGAGGCTGGAGTGCTTGAGTTTTCTGGAACAGCATCACCAGAGGTTTTGGAGTTGTGTGGAGGAAGGATCTGTTTTGCTGTCCTGGGTTTCCAAACATCAGGTTTTCTGGGTCTGTCTGTTCAGTCCCTTTCACTGGCAGTAAGATTACTTTAAATCAGAGCTTAAGATGCAGGTATGAGTGGAGTTTTGTGGCTGCAAGTCATGGGCTTGCACCAACACCATAAGCAGCTAGTCACCATGTAGTGCGTGTGGACACGTGTCCCAACCCTGTTCCCAGCCATGAAGTGGTGGACTCATCACTTCCCCATTCATTCCAGTTTCAGTATTAACTTTGCATCTAACTGGGTTTTTTCCTCTGTTTAGAAACAATTCTTGCTCTGGATGTCTTCAGAAAAGGCCTGATGTTCGTCAGCTGTGCTAAGGTGTGTTCTTCATTAAACCCTTCATTCCTAGTGATTTTTATGGGCAGAGTCGTATTCCTTCTTGGTGCTCCATAAAGAGCAGGATTCCTGTCTGCTACATCTCTCCAAAAGAAAGTTCTTCCATTATCCCTTTTTAACATCCCTAGGGAAACATGATTGTATTTTATCAGCCTGAAAGGAGATGTGTCATTCTCTGATCATTTTGGCTTTGCATTACAGTTCAGAGGTAGCATTAGTGTGATACTGATGGGGAGCTGTGTGTATAAACTCTTGGAAACTTGGGGCCAAGTGCTCAGATACACCCAGAAATAAGCCTCCATGCTGGCATCCCAGACTGCAGCACACTGTTTGGCTATGTCTGCCCTCACCTGCTCTGATAGATGCAGGCAAAGGTTCAAGCTCATGGATGTGGTGACTGCATTGGGAACCGATCACTGTCCAAAAAGCACAGTGGGTTCTGTTCTCTCCCATTCCAGGACAAAAGCATTCGAGTCTGGAGGATGAACAAAGATGGAAGGGTGATCTGTGTTGCCCAAGGACTGGGTCATGCTCATGGGGTTGGTGCTGTCGCTTGCTCGAGGTAATACAGATCAGGCAAGGGTTTCCCTTTCCAAGCATGAGGCACAGGAGGAGAAGGCCTTTGTTCTGTGTAGGTAAAGTTTCTTTACACCTGACGTGTTTATTCCTTTCAGACTGAAAGAAAGGTTCATAGTAACCAGCAGCCAGGACTGCACAATCAAGATCTGGAATATCCCAGAGTCCCTCACTTCCAAAGCAAAAGCAGCCTTGATCTCCTGCCCAGAAACCCTTCATGCGAAAGTGACTGAGAGGGGTCATAACAAGGTAATGCTCCACCTGATCTTAGAACATGCTTTTAGTACTTACATCTTCCCCTCCTGTGTTGCACTCTGCATTTATTACCTTTCCAACAGCTAGAGCAAAGGCTTAGACTGCTTTGTACCCTCTGTGTGCCTTCCCTAGGACATAAACAGCGTGACAGTGTCTCCAAATGACAAGCTGATTGCCACAGGCTCGCAGGACCGGCTGGCCAAGCTCTGGTCCTGCTCCGACTGCTCTTTGCTGGGTGTCTTCACTGGCCATAAGCGTGGGATCTGGTGTGTGCAGTTCTCCCCAGTGGATCAGGTCTTGGCCACCTCTTCAGCAGATGGGACCCTGAAGCTTTGGGGTATTCGGGACTTCAGTTGTCTGAAGGTAATGAGAATCACACTGCCCCTTGCTCTAGGCAACCCGTGTGTGTTAGAGGGCTTGATTAAAGCTGCTTCAAGATAGAATGTGCTGGTTAACGCAGCTGAAATGTAGCAACAAGCTAACTGTCCAGATCTGGTCTTTTTCCCCTGGGTCTGTGAGGATAGAGGCTGCTTTTTGGAACTTATTTGGGCTTTAGGAGTAAATATTACCCTTTTGGAAGAGGTCTCTCTCAAAGCCTGGCAACAGCTCCAGCACTTCTGAGCTTTCTCTGTTTTCAGACCTTTGAAGGTCATGATGCCTCTGTACTGAAGATCATCTTTGTCAGCCGAGGAACACAGCTACTCAGCAGGTAAGTGCCTGCACCAGGAGTCTGGAGAAGATGCTAAAACTAATCAGAAGGAGAAACCTCTTTGCTGGTATCGGCAGCAGGAGGGAAGAGTCTTATGTATGTAATGGATTTAGTTTTGGAATGACTGATAGGAAGATGCCATGTTTATGCCAACCTTTCTCCAGGGGCTGAATTATCTCCTGCAGCTACACAGTAGATTCTGGTGAGCTGCTGGCTTGGTGACACACACTACAGTTAGTGCATGAGAGCTGAGGGTGCATCTCATCCTTGATATTTATGGTTAATTCTGTTGGAAGGCATTGGAATGGCACGGATTTATTGGGTATTTGAGGTGGGGCAGAGCCAGAATGGATCTATCCAATGATTCTTTTTGTTGTGTCTCTTTCCCTTCCAAAAGTGGTTCTGATGGTCTCCTAAAACTCTGGACAATTAAAACGAATGAGTGTGTGAAAACATTAGATGGTCATGAAAATAAAATCTGGGGTCTTCACTCCAACAAGCAAGATGATATGGTGGTGACAGGATCCACTGACTCCTGCATCACGCTGTGGAAGGTACAGTACAGAGTGTTCCTGTGTTTCCTCTGGGATTAGTGATCAGAATGCAGTTGGAGAGCTCAGGATTCCAGTGACTCATTCCTCACTGTGCCACCATGGCCATGTGCTCTTTTCTGCACTTAGAAATGGGGTCAGTTAGGCCCATCTGTTGGTTTTGGGGTGTTTTTTTTTGACATAGTATATTTCCCCAGTTGATGTTGTAAAAGGAGCAGCAGATGGGCCCCAGCAGCCTGCCCCAGTGCTGCTACTCTAAAGGTGCTTTGGAGGGGGGGTGCTGGATTTAACACTGAAGTTACATGACTTGGGGATATTGCTGCAGAAACTGTTCTCCCAATCACTTGGTGGCTAAATCAAAATTCATCTGTGTTAAAGCAAGATTTGACGAAGTTGTATCCTGGTTTTAATAGGATGTCACTGAAATTGAAGAGAAAGAAGCTCAAGCTAAAGAGGAGGAACAGATTATTAAGTAAGTTGATCCTGTGCAATGATGAGGTGTGAAGGACAAACTGTCCAGTGAATCTGTCTACACCTAGAGCCATCCAGCTCCCTCTGATCCAGACATTACATCACGGAGCTATTCCGAGGCTGGCAAGGCACAGTAGTCTCTTCTATTTTGTAGCTCCTCCAAAGCCTTGCTGTGATACTGTCAGCTTGACAATTGATTAATCTCAAGTATATGCACTTCTAAGACAAGCGAAGTCAAAACCTGCTTTCACTTTCTCCTGCTTCAGCCAGCACTGAGTAGCTCAGGGAGCCCTTGACTGTGCCAGGGTGATGATGTGCACAGTGAGAGCACTGAGGCATTCACTGGCAGCACCATTGACTTCTGGTGTTAAAGCTCAGCACACTTACTGCCAAATCTGCTGGTTTCTGTATAAACAGTTTTGTTACCAGCCAAATATTTACCTCCCTCTTGATCCTGATTTGCTTTCCAGAGAACAAGAGCTTTCTAACTTGCTTCATGAGAAGAGATATCTCAAAGCTTTAGGGTTGGCAATCTCTCTGGATCGGCCACACACGGTGTTGATGGTCATCAAAGGTGAGTCCACGTTATGCTCTGAAGGCCCTTCTCTGCCCTCTCTGCCTTCCAGAACATCTCTTCTAGTAGACAACTACTAATTGTCTGAAAGCCTCAGCTTTCCCTTTCTCCTGTGACTCCTCTTTTCCTAAGTGGGATCACCACAGATAAGAAAGGGTCTTCCTGCTCCCAGTCCATGGGTGCAGGGGCTGGTCTCTTGCACAGGAAGCTTCATTTCTCTTTCCTACAGACATCCTCAAGGAAACTGATGGGAGAAAGCACTTGGAAGAGAACATTGTTCGGCTCCGAAAGGATCAGAAAGGTTTGTTGAAACCTGGTTTAAATGCTAAAACCTTTAGGTTGTCCTTGTTGACAGCTCAAGAAAGGGTTCTGGGTGTATCTGTTCTGCCCTGAGCTCATCAGCCACAATGCAACTGGCAGTGTGTGCAGATTTCCTTCCTCCCTAGAGGCTGTGTTAGCATTCCTGGTGACATGGAATACCAACTCTCGGAACTGCCACGAGGCCCAGGCTGTTGTTGAAACCCTCCTGAAGTATGAAGCACCAGAGACCCTCCTGCAGTACTCTGGCATTAAACCTGCTGTGGAATCCCTGCTGCCCTACACCGGTGAGTTGTGCTGCAGGAGCATTTGAGCCTCAGGACTCCTCCTTGTGTGACCATTCCCTGTTTGCCTTGGTTTAAAGGGAGATATTCCCTATTCTGGTGAGCAAAGGCGGCTTTTCTCTCTCTGCAGAGCGCCATTTCCAGAGGCTGAGCCGATTGCTACAGGCCACCATGTTCATTGACTTCATGTGGCAAAACATGAGGCTGGGTGATACAGCCCATCAGGAAGACGTGACTCTGTGAGCCTGATCCTACCAGTGGCCCTTCCCAGAGGGAAGAGCCTGACCAGATTCCTGCCAGGTATGGCAATTGGACTGCTCCTGTGTTTTATAATAAATTTATAAAGTTTTGATTTCTACCACATGTCCAACATTTCATCCTCCTTGAGCTCAATGAGAGAAAAAGGTCATTTCTTTGCTCAAGCCGTGGTTTCCCTGTGTATCTTCATGCCCATACCCTTAAAGAACACTTAGTTTGGAGGAAAGGCAGAACCTGGCTTTTTACTGGCGATTTAAAGACTTTATGGAATTTGGAGATGCTACTGGCAATGATATATCCAAAGCCCAGTGGGGCAGTGTAAGTATAAAACCCAAGTATCTTCGTAATATCTTCATAGATATTTAACTGCTTTATTTTGGACACAGTGTATAAAAGTTAGCACAACTACCACCTCACAACTTGGTTGAACTGCTTGTTATAAAAGATATTTGGGAGAATAACTAAAATTAATGGTAACAATATCCATAAAAATCTTAAGTTTTCCTGTAACTATTCTATCAGATGAGTTTAGGGTGAGGATTTCACTAACTCACAAACCTCCTTGAAAGGGGAATGTTTTGCTCCTAAAAATGGGTTCTGGCTCCTGCCCCACCTGGGAAGGAAGCTGTGTTACAACCACTTGTTTCTGTGCCTGCATAGATAGCACTGTAGGGGGAATGGTCAGAGGTGAGGGTTCCAGGCAACAGGTACTTCTGTTCACAGCCACTCAGCAGCTCCAGCCAGTTCATGTATTTGAGGGTCAGTTCTGCACTATCAGAGTTGATTTAAACAAACCAAAATTCCCAAACAGACACCAAAATCAAAGAGTTTTATAAAAATGTATAAAATAGGGGTTCAAGTAAATGACATTCACATGGCAGCATCATCCCGCCCCTACCAATAATGGTAGCTTTGGATTTCACCGAGTCCCTTAGTGTCTGGGTTTCACTCCTCTGCTCTCCTGGTGGCTGTAGCATGGGGAATAACGCAGGAATGAGTGTGAATACCTGCCTGAGGGAGAATTAACCGTGTTCAAAGTGACCTCTGACTTACACAGGAGCTGCCTTGACTCCCCTCCAAGTTAAACGACTCAATCCTCCAGTACAGCCACTCCCTAGAGTTCCTTAGGATCTAACAGTGTCCTTGGATAACGATGCTGCTGCTCCAGGGATCCCATGGGGTGTTAGTGATGAGGGGATGCCTGGTCCGGGGCTGGATCCGTGCCTCCCAGAACACATGCTGGAGCTGGGGAGCAGAGCCCGGAGCGCTGCACTGCGCGCTTGGTCACTGTACTGCACCTCTGCAGGATCTCCTGGGGCGAGGGGCGGGCAGGCACCTTGGGGACACAAGTGGCCACGTCTGGGTCGGTGAGGGAGGAGCTGAGATCAGCTGCAGATGACTCCACAAAGCCAGAATCGTTCCTGTCCTTGGGGGTGAGGCGCGGAGACTTGGTGCTGTGCATGGCCAAGGCCTGTCCCAGGGGAGGGCTCCGGGCCTGCTCCACTTCAGGCAGGGATCTTGACAGGTCAGGCTGCCAGCTCAGCCGTCCTTCCTGCTCACTGCTGCTCCCCGAGCTGAGGGATGTGCTGTCTGACTCCAAGTCTGGGGTGGAGCTGGCCCTGGGCAGAGACCTTGATCTGCCTCTCAGAGGGTTCAGGTCCTCTTCACAGGCAAGGGAAGAGCAAGCCTGGACCCTGTGCTCACCCAGAGAGTGTGGAGCCATCAGGGAGGAGCAGAGGTTTGGGGTGGAGATGTTGAGCCCACAGTTCATGATGGTCTGGAGCTTGTGATGGGGGTTCTTGTATGGTTGGAGGCACATGGAGGGCAGGTAGCCAGTACAGTTGTTGTATCTGAGGGGGATGGATGAAAAGCAACACTGGAAAGGGCCCTTCTCCCAGCTCAGACTGAGGGGAGGCAGGTGAGGACTCAGCTCAATACTGAGATGGAGTGTGAGGAAAGGGAAACCATCCCTAGCCAAGGGCAGTCAGCTCAGGGGGGAGCTCCTTGGCACCCTACTTGAGGAGCTCCTACAGCAGGCAAACAGTTCCCTTAAGGAATAAAAGCTTTGGAAAAGCCTCCTTACCGGATAAGCCACCAGCCATCCTCAGATTTCCTGACCACCTCCACCACGACTCCATTGTTCAGTGAGAGCTCATCTGCCTTCTGAGACTCATAGGCCCTCACAACGAAGTACAGGCTGCCTGCAGAGAGAGGGAGAGGTTGGGTTTGCCTTGAGGGGAAAATGCCTCCATCCTTGTGTTCTGAAGGAGGAATGTGGGGTCCCAGCAAGCCAGCAGCAGACCTACCCTCCTTGTCTGAGCAGAAGGCATTATGGATGTCCTTGTGGACATTAATCTCTTCCAGATAGGAGGCTGGGAACCAGGCTATCTGCTTGTCTGCGTTCTCCACTAGCCACCACCCTGCAGCAAACAGCAAAGAAAGGGTTTTAACAACCTGGAGACGACCATAATCCCTGCTCTGCCACAAGAGACAGGACATTGTACAGAGCAGCTCAGTGCCTGGCTGGTGCTTCACTGACACTTGGTTCTTCCCTCCTGTGTAAATCCAGGTGAGCACACCATGTACATACAACCCCCCATGAAACCCTATGAACCCATCTCTACCATCCCTCCCTGCAACTGAAGATTCCCAATCAAACATACCAGTCATGTCCTTGATTAACACTTCAACTATTTCCTTCTTAGTGACTTTGAAGGTCTTGTTCTTTGTGTCTTTGGTTTCAAAGGTTTCGATGCAGCGGTAGCTCTGGGAGGCCTGAGGCCATGTAATGCAGGAGGGCTGCTGCTGCCGCTGCTGTGACTGGGCTTTCTTCTCCCCTCCAATGTCTGATGGCATGATCACAACACTGCAAAATGAAGTTCAATATCTGCTTACTGAAAACTCACACAGGAGGCTGAGTTTAATATTCATTTTGGTCAAACCATCTAACAGCAGACTCAGAAATGCTCAGGCACCAGAAACAACATAAGCATGCATTAGAACACTCGAGATTCCCTGCTCTGCTGCCCTGGTGTGTAACTCTGCTAATGTATCCTCCTCTATCCATATCTTGTAACCTTTCTGTTTCATGAAGACACTACAAGTATGATTCCATACCTATTCTCAGGAAAGGAGGGATCAAGGTCTTGGGTCTGTGCCTTGAAAAACTGAATCACATCTTCACCCTGGGAGATTTTGGCAGCTGTTTTCAGCAGCTCCTGGGAATAAGTTTCCAGCAGTTTCAGGATCTCCAGGCACCTGTCTGGCTTCGCACTCCTCCTCTGCTTTGCATTTGCATCTTTAAAATCAGAAGAGCAAAGTTGGCATAAGGTCACAACAGCTCTGGTCTGTAACAGACCAAAGCAAGCTGCTGTAACCCTAGTTCTAGGTGCCATGAGCAGGAGAAAGCATTTAATCTGCTCCAGAGGAAGGTCAGAGACTGAAGCCTGTGTCATCTGTTACAACTGCCCCCAACAGCTCTGTTGTGTTTGTGGGTCTGTCAGAGATTTGTTCTCACCTTTAAACCTGGGCAGTGTCCTGTCAGATCTCTTGAGCGAGCCACTCTCAATGGGGAATTTTCTCTTCAGCTCTTTCTAAAAGCAAAGAAAAGGAGAGAACAGCGGTGCTTTGCAGCCCTCACACATTGCTGGGTTCCTTCCCCCTCCCCACCATGGGAACCCTATTCTCTGGGAGATATTCACTTACATGGAATCTCTTAAAGTCCTCAAATGTCCGGTAGATGAGAATGTTGGTCTGATCTGACCAAGACACAAACATCATGTAGTTCTGGGAAAAGAAAAAGGAAAAGAAATGCATTTTTATTCAGCTTCAATATCAGGTGTTTTCAAGCAACTACCATTTGCCCCAGGGGCTGTGGTTTAGTGCTGGCTTCAGGCTGCAAGATTGTCACATCCAAAAATGAAATTAAACATTAGACCTACAGCAATATTTCCTTAATTCCAGGGCCCCAAATGGATATTCAACAAACTGTTGTTGAAACCAGAGGAATTTTGTGACAGTGAGAGCAGAAAGAGCGCAGAACCCAAAATCGCAGTTTTCTTGTGATGCTAAGATACTATGATTGAAAAACAAGTCCAAGAGCCCCCTGTCCTACATCACAAAGCTGTAATCCCAACACTGCAGGGAAATGAGCAAACATAACCATGTAAGAGCAGCTCAGAAAGGCCTCTGGTGTCCCAGCCTGTAAATAATATGTAAGGAGTAAAATAAATAAATCAAAAGAAACCCCAATATTCAAGTACCTTCTGCTTTCTGCATTGCATCAAGCCGACAGCCTTCACATCCACTGGGTACCTGATGCAGCTCATCCTCCTCAGCCTCTCCTCCCTCCCAAGGGCAACTAGAGGCAGAGCAGAGATGTGGCTCCAGATACTACTCCAGTGCTTAAATACCCTAGAGCAGGAGGCTGGAACAGGAGGGAGGGCACAGGTGTTCCCGCTTCCTCCTCCACCCACTAACTTGGTAGAAATTCCATAGTTTGGCAAACTACTGCGTGCCTTTTACCTGCTCTGAACGTGCAGGTACTCCCAGTGCAGATGCAGGGTCAGAGTTCAGAAGGCTGGGAGAGAAGCATCTTACCTTATCTTATTATATCACACCCTTACCAGAAACCTGCCCGGAAGCAAGCCTGGCCCTGTGCCTGCTCCCTTTATCATCCCTGGGTGGCAGGAGGTCACTGGGGTAGCAATACCTGCTGTGCAGTGAAGTGCATTTCCAGGGATGCATGTGTTGTGTTTATGCCTATATTGCCATGTATGTTACATATGGCAATATTTACATATAACATACATATTTATAATACATACAACAAGTTGTTACATGCAGCAGCACTCCCAGCAGCCCCAAAGCCCAGTTCACACCACGGCTTGTTGTAAAGCACAAATCAGGCACAACTTGATTAAAGATCTCATTTCTTTACTGCTTTGTCCCATCTGCTAAAACACTTTAAGTGGATTTCTGGTAGCTTTGCATACTCCTAGAACTTAGTGGAAGATGCTGATGCCAATGTTGCTGAGCAAAGGATGAACAAACACATCCCCAGGGCACCACTGGAAAAGTCCCAAAGCTGCTTACCCAATACACGATGGAGACTCGACTCCAAGTGCTATGCACTCTATCCTGCATCAAGGATCCCTGTACACACCCAGGGTGACCTCCAGCTCATCCCATGGACCAGCTCCTACTGCCCAGAGGCATTGCAGCAGGCCCCATAATTGCAGCCCTGAAAGCCTGTCCTTTCACTGCACATGCCTTTAGCGTGCTTCAGGTTATGACTTGGCTGATGGGCAGCGTGTGATCAAACCGCTTTCTCCGTCCCCCCCTCCTCCTCTTCTTTGATGAAGCCCGAATTGAATCATTATCATTATTGGAACCCAAATTGAGAGCCCTGCCTTCCATTTTCCAGTTATACCTGGTGTCCCAAATCCCTCAGCCGCAGCTGCAGATGATCCTTCATCTACCAACCCCCCCCCCCCCCCCAGAATCTGACTAGGAAGGGAAACAAGATTCCTTTTGGATAGCCAGAAAAAATGGTGAGCAGGGCCTTGGTTTGTGTTTCGTGAGCACAGGAAGTTACTCCTGCACAGCAGCGTGGCAGTTTCTAGGGCCAGAGGAAGTGGTTTTATTGCAGTTCAATCTATTGCTGCTGGATATCTGCCTTCTGTTGGGAAATGAAAGTTACACAGAGTGCACTGCAGTTCTGTGGACACATGTTATGGGAAAACCCCTTTGATGCATCTCCAGGGCAGTTCCTGGCCCATGCACTGGACAGGAGCTGCCCTGCAGAGAGGTGATGCAGAGCAGGTTACTGCCCTCAGCTGTCCTGGAATGGGACCCTCCATCCCTCTGTTCACAAAGGGTTCAGCAAAAATACATGCATTTACTAGAGCAGCTTGCCCCAAGCCCCATCTAACCTGGCCTTGAACACTGCCAGGGATGGGGCAGCCACAGCTTCTCTGGGCACCCTGTGCCAGTGCCTCAGCACCCTCACAGGGAAGAATTTGTGCCTAAGAGCTCATCTCAATCTCCCCTCTGGCAGGTTAAAGCCATTCCAAGACTGTAAAGGTTTAAATGTATCTACCCTGAATGGGAAAAGCCAAAGATAAGTAAGACCTTAGAGGAGCTGCAATCTTGATGCACCAGACAGCACATTGCTCCACATAGGCAGGTACTGCAGGTGTCAGTCAAAACAAGAAGGGAAGGAAACTGCCTTGGGTTTGGCAATTCCTGGTTCCAAAGGCTTTGATGTATTTCACCATTCTCAGTGAACTCAAGGAGGGGGGTGTCAAAACCATATAATTAAATGTTGCATCAGGAAGGTGAAAGTACACGGGGTTTGTAAGTCACAGAATCATGGAATGGTTTGGGTTGGAAGGGACCTTAAAGCTCATCCAGTTCCAACCCCCTGCCACAGGCAGTGACACCTTCCACTAGAGCAGGTTGCTCAAATCACTTGAGGCTTAAGAGCTGGCATGCAGGTGGGGGAGCTGATTTTCTGGGGGAGATTGGCTAGTGACAGGAACCTTGTATAAAGCAAAGCATGAGCAAAACTGCTCAGAACTCAATAATTAGTTACAAAGAGAGCACAATCCAGAAGTGGAGGTTGCTGCCATGGAGGGAGAGTGGCCAGGCACTACTCAAACATAGCAACACTTTGGTGTCAACCTGGAGTGTTTGGTTCATGCTCTGCAGTTACAGCAGTATTGTTGCCTTGTTGTTGTCAAGTTTCATGTCATGAAACTGCTCAAGAGACTCATCTAAGAATCACATCATCTCGATTTAGTGACATTAACTGCAGAAGCATAGGAAGGGCTGTGCCAGGTTGCTTCTGCATCAGCACAAGTGCTCCTCCACAGCATCACTGCAAAGCCCTGAGAGCTCAGCAGCATCGATACTGGGAGCGATGTAGAACTGATTAGAAGCCATTAATTCCACTACATTTGAGCACACTTAGCAAAACCCCGATCCTTTTCCTGACACTGTCACGTTTACTCAGTGTCTTCTACTACTTCCATGTCATCCTGTCATCCTGTCATAAACGGGTACCTCATGTGTAATTATTAACCACAGGGGAGGAATGGTCTGCCTGGAAAAAGTAAGAGCAAGTATTGCTGGGCACTGCTGTTTCATTGCTAGCATTTATTTACACAGGTTTTGAGGAGAGCAGTTACTTCTTTCATTAATCATTTCACAAGGTACAAAAGAGATCATAAATTAACAAGTCATATATAGGATTGGACTGTCCATCTTTGACAAGTTTTCCTCCATAATAAAACTGTTGTTTTGCAGCCTGCTGTAAAACCAAAGAAAAAAGAAGTGGAGAAGAAAGCCACACATGCCTTGCAAAGATGGAGCTCTGCCTCTGGCTATGCCAGAAGCATCACCACTGCCATAAAGAGGTGCTCTGAGTATATGAAATACTGGGTTTGTCACAGAAAGGGACTAAGGTGTAATCATGGGGAGACCCACCAGAGCTCCTGCCCCAAACAGCCCACCCTGAAGGACAGGGCAGGACATCCAGTGGCTTTGGGGAGTCCCTAGCCACCCAGGCTGCCCCCTCTGCTGTCTCAAATACAAGAACAGCTTCCCTCTACTGAGTGTGAAATGGCAAGGGTCTGGTTTTCATGTCATTTCAGTATGGATCAGGAATAACTTAATCCAGTGTGCTTACAACAGCCTCGTAAGTAAAGACAAGTGCCTAGTAAGACAAGTGCCTGGACCAATCCTTTACAGTACCAAATGAGAACCAGAAGTAGAGTTTGAGCGTGCAGATGCTTGGGGCAGCCAAAGGCAGCTCTTCACAGCTTCACCACAGCCATTTTCCAAGTCTGACAAGCCGTGGCCTTGTCACAAATGCCTACACATGAAAAAGGGGAGAAGCCCTGCTATGAACATCCTTTATCACGTACATTAAGTCAGGTCTGGGCTGGTTAGTGACCTGTAGATGGCTGAATATCTGTGGAGCTCTAAATAATTTGTCCTCCTATGCCCAGAACAGGAGGAACTGCTAGAGGTTAGACTCACCAGCGAAAGGCAAAGAGAGAAAAAGTCCTCAAACAACCATTGAGAAACCACAGCTGCAAGAAGGAGATATGGAAATGAGCCACAGGCACAGCCAGGGGGGCCTCGCCTGGAATGATGCCGGTAGGAAAGCTTCATCTTTTCCCACCATCACCTTCAGGATCAAAACTTGCCCTTTGCTGTTCTTGAAGGTCACCTGCGATAACACATGACCTATCAGCACCTTTAATGAAAAGCCCAGCTGCTAAAAGCTGGTTTGAAGAGTACAAAGAGGTTTTAGACTTCAAATAAATAGATAAAGAGCCTCTTATTTAAAAAAATATCAGAATAAAAATCAGAGGCTGGAGTTGACAAAACCATCCTTCAGCTCCTGAACAAAGGAAGCAGTTGAACTTTCACACAGGCTGAGATGAGAGTTTTTGCAATATCTGATCCAGGAGAAGGTATTTCATTTCCTCCTGATTTCAGTAGCTGCTGCAGGCACGAAAGCATTTTTCAGTGGCAGAGAAATCCGATTCATAAATCCCTTGAGCACACACAGCAGCGCTTCTCTGTTTCTGTTCTCCACCAGCTCAGGCTGGTAAGGCAGTGCTTGCTGCAAGGAAGACAAAGGAATTCTGCAGTGCTGCTACCTGAGCTGTGTTAGAAACAGTCCCAGCCAGCAAAGCCTCATTCCCACAAGTCCTTGTTCTGCCTTTTCCACAAGGAAACCCCTTGCCAGCATGTATCAGCACTAATGTGGGCAGCAGGATGGGGGCAGGGATAGCTCCCCTGTACTGGGCACTGGTGAGGGTGCACCTCGAATCCTGTGTTTAGTTCTGGGCTCCTCACTACAGGAGAGACATTGAGGTGCTGGAGCAGGGGCAGAGAAGGGCAGCGGAGCTGGTGCAGGGCCTGGAGCACAAGTGTGATGGGGAACGGCTGAGGGACCTGGGGGGTTCAGTCTGGAGAAGAGAAGGCTCAGGAGGGACATTATTGCTCCCTACAACTGCCGGACAGGAAGATGGAGCCAGGTGGTGGCTTGGCTCTTGTCCTGAGGAACAAGTGATACAACAGGGAATGGTCTCAAGTTGCACCAGGGGAGGTTTAGAGTACATATTAGGAGAACTTTCTTCCATGAAAAGGTTGTCAAGCATTGGAACAGGCTGCCCAGAGCAGTGGTGGAGTCCCCGTCCCTGGAGGTACCTAACAGACATGTAGATGTGTCACTTGGGGACATGTGTTAGTGGTGGCCTTGGCAGTGCTGGGTTAACAGCTGGACTTGATGATCTTAAAGGTCTTTTCCAACCTAAACAATTCTATGAGTCCCACTCCTTTTAATCTGCAATCTCCTGGTGGTCTCATGCTGGGACACCACTGGTTATTGCCCCACACAGGAGACCAGGGCTCAGGACACGGGGGTCCTGCTTCCCCCCAGGGCATTGACAGTGAAACCACAGCATTGCATCGAACCCCCCAAAAGTTGACAGCAGCCATCTGAGAGGGGTGAGAGGAGTGGAGAAAACCTGGAACACCTTTGAGATCCAGCTGCCCAGCCCAGGGAGAAAGCTGCCTTTCACAGGTTTCCTGGCTGCCTGGGGCACACTGGACAAGCTGTTTACCAAGCACTTGTTGCAATAGCTCCCTAGCTCCGTTGTAAAAGTGGCATGTTTTTCTAAGATGATGCAAAGGACAAAAGCATGATTCAAGAAGAAAACTTCCATGAAGGATGAGGATGTAACTTAAGAGTTGCTTCAAGAGAAAGCTTCCTGCAACATTTCCTACAGAAAAAAGTGGTTGATGAGTGTGTTGCGTGGTACGAGGCCACGTATGTGTGTACACGCTGGGCTCCAGCTATGGGATGTGACGGATACAGAAGGCAAGGTTGAGTTTCCGAGGTGTTCCAAGCCCCTGACCTGCACACTCCAACATCCAGGAGGGGAAAATCCCAACATCCCAACAGCACAACCTGTACAGACAACATCAGGTGAAGCAAGCACCAGAGAACATGCACAAACACTGTTTTCACTTGGGCCAAATCTATTCTTACTTCACACTGAATATGGGGAAGTCTGATCAGAGACAAAACCAGAAACAAGACCATTGTATTCCTCCCAGATTAGTCAGAGATTGCTCGTTGTATTCTTACCCCTTCCTCATTCCCCACTGCCCTCAACAAGCACAATATGCAAAGTGTCTTATCTCTCCAGTTCATCTTTATTTTCAGAGCAAAGAAAGATCCTTGTGTTCCTTTCCCCCTTCAGAAAACAGGGAAAAGACAATATTTAATCATCCCTTGTAAGCTTGGTAGGGAGAAGAGTAATGTGGAAAAACTGTTGTTTCATTAATGTTTAATTCCTACCGATTTCACACATTCTTATAGCTATTGTTAGCTGAGAATAATCTTTCTCCACCACCATGGAGATTTACAGCTTGCTTTGTCCCTTGCTTTGACCTACTTCTAGAAAGGAATCACCCCATAATCAGGAAGAGCTGCATTGCTGAGGATTTTGTGCTTTATTTTTCAAGAGCTTAAAAGGAACCCCCCAAATTTTGCTGTTTGTGCTCAGAAAGCATTAACTTAGTCCATGGATGCTTGGAGAGAGTCTGGGATGTTGGAGACCAATTGGAGCATAGCACACATGAGACAACTGACTGTGCCAACCTGCAGGAAATAATCAGGTTTTCTCCCTATCTCTGCCATTGCAAATATATACCCCACTGCTCATTTTAACCAGCAAGAACATCCACACAAAAAAACAGCATAAACAGCAAAATAACATACTGCACCCTCTGGTATAGACCCCAGATTCGAGCAAGTCAGAGGCTTTGTAAATCCTGTGCCAACTCTTAGACTATTTTGAGCACGTTTTAATAGCTCTGGATGGATCTGAACTGAGATCAATATCTCCCCCATTCATTGGCAGTGAAATGTGTCCCTATGGCAGCATGCTCCTTCCTGGAAATTAGGAGATAAATTCACACCTTGGGAAATTCTGCAGGTGATGCATTTCTTGTATACAAGCAAAACTGTTCAATATATGATTCACTCACCTGGAAATACACATTATTTTTTTCTGTTGTAATTTCCTAGATGCCTGTAGTTTCACAAACAGCTGCATGACTAATTCCTGGTGCTGGCTTTGTAACTGGTTGGACTTTAGGGTTTACATCCTTACGTGCAAATACAAGGCAGCTTCCTGTTGGTGTGTTCCACTGGAGAGGGTAACAGTTATATTCAACTGGAACTACCTGCAAAACACAAAAGTATGATAAGAATGCTGAGAGGTATAGGGTAACATTTTCCAAAGAACTTCAAATAATTTAATGAAAACTCAGTGTTTAGGGTCCCAAATGAAGCAAGAGCCTCTGAGAATATTATTCATAGAATACCAGACTGGTTTGGGTTGAAGGGACCTTAAAGCTCATTCAGTTCCAACCCCTGCCACAGGAAGGGATACCTTCCACTCCAAACCCTGTGCAACCTGGCCTTGAACACTGCCAGGGATGGGGCAGCCACAGCTGGGCACCCTGTGCCAGTTGGACACAGTACTCCACCACCCATCCTTGGGGCCTCCATTCGCTGGGGCCACCCCTCCTTCATATCATCTGTCCTTAAGGTCACCCTGTTCAAGAGCTGCATTTAAGCTCAGGCCTTTCTCCTTGCCCAAAGCCCACCCTGAGTATGTCTGTGCCATGCATTTTGCCCAACCTGACTTTCATTCTCAGAGGGCTGGGGGGTGTCCATCCCCAGCTGATGGATGCATATCTGGCCTCAAACAGGGGTCAGCTCCCGTTACCTGCCCATTTCTTCTTCCTTCCCTGTGCACCCCCTGTCAGTTCCCAAGCTCATGTTTAGCAAGCGCCAAAGATAAGAACATCAAACAGCAGCCTTCCTCTGAGAAAGGCAAACACACCCTTTTCATGTTCTCAAGCACAGGTTTTACTAATGTTTCCTGGTAATACCCGTCACTGCCATCCTAGTCAGGGATTAAGCGGCTTTTAGGAAGAGGCACCTATCTGGTAGATTCAGTGAGCTCTGTGCTGTGTTCCTTCCTTTGGGTGGAATTAATTAGGCTCTGTGCTGGGATTCAATTAGAGACAGTAAAGTGAATTTCCTTGCTCTGTTTTGAATCAGAGCATCTCTTCATTTTTGTCTTTGCTTGCTTTGAAACAAGATTATGTTGTTGGTGAGGGTGCATGGGGAAAACTGGGAGCACCTTTTCCTAAAGAGCTGACCAACTCTGAGCAGAAATCCCTCTGTAAGCAACAGCTTATTTCCAGGTTATGAACTTCTTCCTTTTAAAGAAATATAAACCAGGCTTGTATTTTAACTAACTCAACAAATGAAATCACTAACAAGAGAGCAAACAGACTGTTAACAGGCTGCTTTGACTTAGAAGCATCTCCGCAACTATTTCATTGCTGAAGGCTAAGCAGTAAAGCACAGCAGGAAATTCCCCAGGTCCCTCCTCCAAATACCAGCAAACCTTTTTTTTTTTTCCCCTGAATTAAAGGAAAAGAATGATGTGATCAACATCATTTAAACATTTATTGGTGGGGAAGGAAAGCAAACTTAAAGAATATGTTTTTCCCTACTTGATCTTTCCTTGATGTATGAAATGTAGATATACAGTTGTGTAGAACTTCAACAAAACCATTTTCAGTAGTTCCTATTCATGTCTCTTCTCCCTCACTCCCAGATATCAACAAAGAAATGTTCTCATGAAAAAAGAAATGGAGCACTGATAAACAGGAGGCCCAAAGATGGAGATTCCAATCACCAGCTCAGCGCTACACAGACCAGGGAACAGGTCTGTAAAGCAGAGGGTTTGAAATGTTTTTGATGGCAAATCTGTGAAGCATTTCCCTAAAATGATGCATTACCCACTCAACGTTTATCCTACCTTGTGCTAAACACCATCCAAGGGTAACAGCTGAAAATGAGCAGGGTTTTTCCAGCAACTTCCATACAAATTGTGTCTTTGCAGAACTGGCAGCAGCACAACACTTAATGTCAGGCAGAGACTCAAGAGCCTTTCAGATAGGCCTGGAAGGGATAGGATGTGGTGAAGTACAGCTGCTGCTAAGGAGAAATGTCCCAGACCACAACAGCTGAAAGGGAAGAGGAATAGGGACAGGAGGCAAAAGCCTCCAACGCAAGATTTATAAAGATATTTTGTTCTCCCTCCATCCTTTCCATACATTTGTTTGCATTAAACAAAATAGTCCTATTTTTCACTTGACCTGCAGGACATGAAAAGTGCCAGCGGATACAAACTTCCCATTCTAGACTGCATTGTCCACAATGGGAGACTTACCCTGTGGCCTCAAACCCACCACCAGCATGAGGGCGTCAAGGCAAAAAGAAGGGAAAGAGCAAGCCTGTGCTGCTGCCCTCTGACTTTTCATCCTCTCCCTCCTGCAAACAGCAAAGCAGAGGCTGGATGAGTGTGCGCTTCAGGGGGTCATACCCGCCAGACTAGAGGACAAATTGGCCCAAAGCTTTATCTGCACTAATTCACCTTTCCAAGGGGTGAGAAACTCATCCCTGAAGCTGATGCCATGCTGGACCATTGCCCAGGAGCTGGGTCACCATCCTCATGTGCTTACAAGCCTGTAGCTCACCAGAGCTGCTGAATGTCCCCTCAGGACCGAAGAGCAGGGGCAAGGCCTGGGCTGATGTACCCGCCCCGGTGCAAAGCGTGCAAATACTCCTGGAAAGAGGTGGGTAAATCCTTCCTCAATACAGGCTTACAAGCATGTGACAGGTGTTAAAACATGTAAAATATGATACGGGTGTGTTCTGCTACAATTGCAGGAGTTGGAATGGAGTTATCTGCTTGTTTGCTTTTAAATCACGCTCGTGATCCTATCTATCACTGTGCTGGAGATAACGCTGAGGGGCCCCTCGTCCCCATGGCCGGTAGCGGAGCTACAGGAAACCTGCAGAGGGGGTTTGGCCAAGGGCCTGTAGGGACAGGCCAAGGGGAATGGCTTGAACCTGCCAGAGGGGAGACTGAGCTGAGCTCTTAGGCAGAAGCTCCTCCCTGTGAGGGTGCTGAGGCGCTGGCACAGGGTGCCCAGAGAAGCTGTGGCTGCCCCATCCCTGGCAGTGCTCAAGGCCAGGTTGGACACAGGGCCTTGGAGCAAGCTGCTCTAGTGGAAGGTGTCCCTGCCCTTGGCAGGGGTTGGAACTGGGTGAGCTTTAAGGTCCCTTCAACCCAACCCGTTCCGTGATTCTATTATCTATATACATACACAGATGTGAGGCGGGCGAGCGCCGGCAGGTGGCTCATGTCACTTCTCCTTCAGAATTCAAGAACTCTCCTCGGAAGACTCAAACTCAGAACCTGTCACTCTATTGTGACACCAGAAACACACCCTTTCTGTGTGTGGTGTTTTAACTGCTCACCAACGACCTGGTTTAGCAACGAGTCTCGTCCCGGCCGCCTGCCGCCGCCTGAGGTAACCCGGGACCATTTCAAATGGCGGGCTCCCCCTCAGCCCATGGTGCACCGCGGCGCCAAGATGGCGGCGCCCAGCGAGGGCCGGCCGGGCCGCGGCGCTTCCCCGTTCCCGGGCACGGAGGGCGGCCCCTTCACGTTCCCTTTCCCCGTCCCGCACGGCGCCGCGGGATCTGGGGCGGAGGAGCCGGCCAAGAAGCCGTGCCGAGCCTGCACGGACTTCAAGAGCTGGCTCCGCGAGCAGAAGAAGCAGGCAGCGTCGGGCGGCGGGGTGAGGCGGCGGTTTTCCCCTGCCACCCTTAGGGCGGGCTGTCCTCCTTAACCCCTGCCGAGCTGTGTGCTGGGTCTCCATCCCCCAGCTGTGATGGGGCTGTGTGTTCCCCTCCTCAGGCCGTGAAGGGGCCAGGGATTCCTCTCAGTGAGGGGGTGAAGGGGGCTTCCATGTTGTCCCACTGGGTGTGAGGGACTTGTTCCTCCATCTGAATGCAAAGGGGCTCTTTCCCCACCCAGTACCTCATCACCTCCCAACCCTTTCTCTTGCTGCAGGATCTGACGGCCACAGAGGAGAAGGAGCCACCACCGAACTGTCCTCTGGACAGTGAGCAGCTGGGCCGCAGCACATGGGGGTTCCTGCACACCATGGCGGCCTATTACCCCGACCGGCCCACCGGCGCCCAGCAGAAGGACATGAGAGACTTCATCAACCTCTTCTCCAAGTTCTACCCCTGCGAGCACTGCGCTGAGGATCTGAGGGAAAGGTGAGTTGGTTTGGGGTGGTTTCTGCTTGAAATGCTGAGCTGCAGCTGTGATTTGTGTACGGGCAGCTCTGCCTGCACTGGGGTTCCTAGCTCCCTGTTCCGTTGTTGCATCCATCCGAGATGGGCTTAACTCAAAACCCAATAGCTCTTCCTGCCCTGTTAGGTTGTGTGCTGCCTCTGAGGCCTCCCCGGGGCAATTGTGTGATTTTCTGGTTCAAAGGAGACTTGTGCTCAGTTCTAGAATTAGGCTGGGACTTGAAGTAATCTGGCTTTAAGGAAGCGAGTGGTTTTGTACCCCAGAAAACCCCCTTTGTTGGCAGCCTCAGCAGTGGAGGCGCAAAGCGTTACACTCCTGTTACTGTCAGCTTGTTTCTTGAGGGTTTCAACTCCTCTTTTCTGGATGATGAACATGCAGAAAAACCCATTTGAAACTTAATTATTGACTTAGCAGACGCCACATGGCAAAGCAGCTGCTTGGCATTTTGATGAACTCGAGTACTTCTTGCTTTTTATCATAGCTGAGCTGTTTGGTTCCTGCATCTTTTCCAGTTGACGAGAGTAGGCAGTGAATGAAATCAAGCCAGTTGCAGCCATCAGTATTTTATAGTGGAGGATTGGCTTCTGGGTTCTCTCTGGGACTCATCTTGCAGTAGCAGAGAAGGTGATTCTGGCTGCGTGCTCTGTGCCTGCTTTGGGAATTGAGCTTGGTGGCTGTAAAGAAGTAACATTTGTTTCCTCTTCCCTGTTTGCAGATTACGTACAAATCAGCCTGATACTAGCAACAGAACTAACTTCTCCCAGTGGTTGTGTCTTCTTCATAATGAAGTGAACAGGAAACTGGGGAAAGCAGAATTTGACTGCTCTCGTGTGGATGAGCGCTGGCGAGATGGTTGGAAAGATGGGAGTTGTGATTAATCCATAGAGACTGCTTTGGAAGTCTATCAGACCAATCCAATCTGGTGTGGAGTCACTGCAGGGACATGTGTGAGTCAGCGACTGTGTGTTTGTGTGTGTGACTGCTACGGAAATAAAGGTAAACCAATTCTAAGTGGATTTGAAAAGCTTATCCTAATAATATGTTGATAACTGATGACAAAAATGCATTACCTGAAGGACTGGGGCCTCACATTTGGCACAGCAATTGCCAGAAACCTGTGAAATGAAGGCACTACAAAGTCACGGAGACTTTTTCATTGTGACATTTCCTTATTTTAGGGGTATTTGCTTGTTTCTGACTGTTCATTTTCCCTGAACATAGCTGCCCTGTGGCATTTCATGTTTTTCTGCAGGCGTTATCCTGATGGTTTAGAAAATGCATCTGATTAATTCTGGTTTTCATTTGCTATTCATGCCGTGTTTTGTGCCAAGTCTCTGCCCCCAGTTCTCTCTTTGACATCTCCAGTGCTTGTTGTTAAATTTGCATCCATTTCCTTTGCTAAAAGGCCTGAAGGGAGGTACACTGAATTTAAAACTGAAATCATGAAGGCCAAATTTCTCATTTTATTCTTGTATTTGACTTACCATGTAAGAAGATGGTGTAGAAAGGAAAACTAAACCAGAGCTAGGCAACATTCATCAAATGAATGAAGTATCAATGGGTAAAATATCTGAAGGATGTATCTGGGTGAAATCCAGATGTTTTAAACCGATTGCCAATTTTCTTTGGATCTAGAAGTGCTAAATTCTACCGAACTATTTCCTCTTAAAGCAGATAACCTCTTAATCTCTGCTGTGAACTTCAGTCTGTGATGAAAATAGCTTGACCCCTATATCTGTAATGAAGCATATTCAGCTTTGTTTCACTTATAGCATTCCTGAGATGTGTTTTGAAGTTCTTGGCTGGCACTTGCTGACCTGGCTGATACACTGGTGTTATGTCCTAGCTAAAAACCTCTCTAGATCAAAAGGACTTTACAAGCCCCAGTATTTGAGTCCTGCTTAAGGCTGCAATGTCAGCTTAATGTAAGTGTTTATTGCACAGGGGACTCTGAGCCCCTTGGGTAGCTTCCCTCTGTAGGTACTGGTCAGCATCCATGCTATGTGTACTTTTCCTAGGTCAGCTATACTGCATCTGTGTATCGATACAGAAGTGTGAATTTCAGATTCAAGTGAAATAGCAGCATAAATGGTTAACATCCTATGCTTATAAACATGTATCTCTTGATAAAAAGAGTCAGCTAACAAACAAAAGTCAAAAGAATTTCAAGTTCTTAGAGTAGATATTGAGATAATGCCCTTTACTGCATTTCTGGCTGTGAAGAGTTTGCACAAACCATGATAGTAGAAGGCTTTTTCCTCCTGTACTTCCTGCTGAGGCTTTCTTGTGCGTTTTAGAGCTTCCTTATTTCACGTGCTGCTGTACCTCTGTAAATTTACTCTTGTTCATAGAGTGTTACCTGGAAATACCAGTGGGGCTTTTATAATAATAGCAGTGTGATGACAGCTCCTATTTCAGAACTTTGATCTTGAGACCTGCGTGCATAGGGCTCCTCTGGTTAGAAAAGCAATAAGAACCAGAAATGCATTCAGTGTTTTATGGTACGTTCAAGTTCTTTCAAGTCAGACCTGTTAATATGAGGCAGATTTTATGGACTCGTTGTTCTTGGAAGTCTTTTATGTAGTAACGTTTCTAAACATGAACCCAAAGCCAATGATAAGGTACTTGATGAAGCATTCAGTCTAGCTTATGACTTGAAGGTGTCATTTGGGTTATTAGAAATGTTTGGCTAATTTCCCTGTCAGTATGTTGAGCTTAGAACAAATAAATTCCAGCCCTTGGTTTTCGTCTTTTGGGTGGTAAACTTGGTCCCCAGAATGAAGTACATTGGTATGCAGTAATGGGGAGAGGACCAACAAAAAGGTTGTAACCCTCTGCTTTTGTCAGCCTAACCTCAACTACCCAGTTCTATCTGGATAGTGTTAGCAGTAGGGTGTGTGGACAGGCATTTGCTTGTAGACTTGGTTGTGTTTGAGGAGGAATCTACTTATTTTACCTTCCAGTCTGCCCTTGTCTGTTCTCTGTGACAGTCTCATTGCCCGTGGAGCAGATGATGAAATTCTTTTTTGTTTGCTTCAGTGTAGATGAGCAGGTTGGGAAAACCCCTGTCTCTTCCCTTTCCATCTTAACACTGAAAATGGGCCAGGGTGGTGAGTGGCACTTTCTTGTGTGCAAGTGCACTTGATCTCTGAGTCCTGGGACTGCTGCTGCCTTCTGCTGGCAAGTGGTTGGTGCTGGGCAGGTGCGGGGTAACCTTCCACCATCCACATATCAGGAGTGTAGAGGAAACCAAAGGTGTATCCTGCTCAAGATCAAGGCAGCAGCTGTGGCAACACAACGTTTTTGTCACCTAATGCTGCTCAAGGAGGTGGTAGAAGCGTGCAGAAGGAAAAGCCCATTTGCCAGCATGTCCTGGCAGCATTGCAGGGGTAGGGCCTTCAGCCTTAAAAGCTGAAGTTGGTGTCTTTAGTGAATGCTTCCTAATAATGAGGCCACCCCTGTGGTTGCTGGGCACCCCTGTTAATGGGCCAGTTTGTAGCTTCACTATGTGGCCATTTGGTAAAATAGATGCTTGTGCTCTCTTCTCTCATTTTTACTGCTTTGCAGAAGAGCTTTGACTTAGGTGATCCTCAGGGATATCATCATCTCTGTGGACTTGACTGTATGGGGAGGAGGGGATTTTTTTTTTGCTGCTCATTTGTACCACATCTCAAGTTTTAATCTTATGTAAGGAATTCCTATTGAAGATGACTTGTATTTCTTTACAGAAAGTTGTGAATTCTGTTCTAAATGCACTTGACTAAATCTAGTTTTAAAAATACCTGTAATTCAAATGATATTTCCTGTTGATGTGAACATAATAAAGCAACAGAGTTTATTCCTGGCTTCCCTACTGTATGACACCTTGGGAAAAGGCATCATATTGTGCTGGGGTGTCTAACCTTCTGCATGCTGATATATTAAGGTCTGAGCTTGCTTGCTCAGCTGAGCCTATGTGATTCTGTGGGTATTGATCAGCCAAGGTGGGGTTGCAGCTGGACCTTTTCTATTGTGCTGCTCAATTGATGCAGATGTTTTGTCCAGCAGGTCCTTGCCCATTAAGTGGGAGATGGGTTTCATATGGGGTTATTTATGTGTTTCAAGTGTTGCATGTTTCTAACAGCATTAAGGGTAGTGCTACAGTTGGCAGTAGCTCAAATCCTGAATTGGAGCGGGGTGGCAGAGGAAGGTGTACAGAGGAATGCTGCACTGAAGGGCAGCATTTGTTAACTGGGTGTTCACCACACAGCCATGCACATCCCATCCCATCTGCCAGAAGGGAGAAGCTCTTTCTTAGCAATATGAGGAGCCCTTGCAAGACAAAGCACAGTCAGGAGCTGGTGCTGCCTAAGGAGCTTGTGGGACCTTACTCAAGAGCTGCTTGTGTGCAGTAGGCACCTGGCTAACCTTCAGCTTCACAAACTCACTGGTCTTGTGCTCTGGTTTGCATTCATAGCTGAAGTTCTTTAATTCTCCTTCTTTTTCTCCCCCTCAAGAAAGTAAAGAGCAGGGAGCCATGAGGGAAGCGTCCACTTCATGAATGGGAAGTGGAGTTGCTGAAGCAAGTAATAAGTGTGGATGTTGGTGGAAGCACCACTATGCCCTTAACATTTTCCCAGGGATTAGCTGTTCCTTTACAGTGTGTTGGGTGAATACAGTCTCCTGTCTACAGTAAGGTTTTCAGGAGTTGCTTTGCTTGCATGTGTCTCTTGTTTCTGCCTTTTCCAGGCAATGTGTGATACTTCTTCCCATTGGATTTTTACAGGCCTGGAGAGGGAAGGGTTTAGATTTCAGTCTGGGGTTTTTGCTCCTTTCTATCAGCATTGATTTTCTTTTTCCCATTCCTGGAATAGCTGTTCAGGTGTTTTGTCTGAATGATGGAGAGGAGCTGTTGAGGATTTTGTGGAGTTAGGAGTGAGCTCCAGTGGAAACTGGCAAAAAGGTTGTGTGAAGTCAACTCTTGATTTTGTAGGCTGATAGGAAATGGAATAAAGCAAAACCACAGCTAATAGTACATAGGGAAATCAGCAGTTAGAACATAGAGGATTCTCAAAGGGTATGGGGATCCACGCTGTGGTAGCTGAAGCCCTGACCTGGACTGGTAAGTCCCACAGGGACAGGTACACCAACACCATATGCTGACTGTGTCTGCACCAATGCACAATTAGCTCCCAGTGAAGGGAGCTGAGATGCTGGTAGCTGACGTGCAGCAGCATCTACTGTGCATCAGCAAGCCTGCCACCACTCACAGAACCCTGGAACAAAGGGTGGCTCCTACCAGCTGAGGATAACAGGGCTCAGTACCCTGGTCTATGCTGATCCCAGGGTATCTGTTGTTGCTGCCACTTCCTAATCTTTGTCATTGTTACTCTTAACGTTTCCAGAGGTGAAGTCTAACAAGCAGCACTAGTGTTTGCCAAGCACTGAAACTGTTCTGTTCCCCTTGCTGTGTGACAGTCCCATCTGCATGTACTGGGCTAGTGAAGAGTAGCTCAGAAAGTTAGGCTGGCATTTGGGCTTAAAGCATCTGGCCTGGTCTAGCACTTAGATGGAGCTCCTGGTACAGGCCTGCTGAGTTCTGTGCCTGCCTCCCATGACCTTGCTGCATTGTGCCCTCTGCTTCTGTGTGTTGTGCTGTCCCAGGCTGTTGGTTTTCCTTGTGAGCGTTCCCCATGCAGAGCCTCTTCCCGGTCCCACGTTTTCCCTCCCATGTATCACATACCATCATGCTGCTGGCTTGTGCTGTCACTGCGATGTGCTTCATAGGGGTGATGCTACGGGGAGAATTTGCTTTGCATCTGAAGCAAGCGAACAGTAGAGGGCAACATACCATGTGCTGGGTTGGTTTTCTTGTCTCTTAACGCTGCTCTGGAGCAGACTGCTCCGGGTACCGAATGCTTTACCTCTTCCTAGTCCCTTTCCTGGGGTTTTGGGAGGAGATTTTGGTGACTTCAGTTACTTTTCAAGCTTGTATAGCTACCTAAATGAGGGATGTGTTAGTTCTCTTCCTG